TATCAAAGCATCCTCCGATCTTCGAATTATGCAAACATGTTCACATATTTTATTTTAAAGCGTTTAATGTGTTTTGTCTTGTCTGATTTTATATTGTAACCGATAAGTTATTGTAGCTTGATTTTGACAATTTTTAAAATAAAATAGCCTGTAAAGACACCGTTCTAAAGTACTGACCCGCTTGAAATCGTGGTAAAATCCCATATGTACGAAGCAGCGAACTTCAAGGGAGTGGAAATCTCTACCAACGTCTTCCCGCTTAAAAAACCTTGAGTCCTTACTCAGATGAGTCAGTACTGAATCTTAAAACATAGTATAAAAATTATAATCTTCTTGATATTTACTGCACTTGAAGCTTTATTGTGCTAATTAGCAAGCTAATTGATGCTTGTTTGTATTTTTTACGTGGTCGCACAATTTATTATTTCTCAAGTGCGCATTCGTTGTCGTGTCCTATTAATTTTAGGTTTTTTTTTTGGTAGACAGTTGCTAACTAGTGAACGTATGTTTAGTAGAACTAAACCAATGAAATCATAAAAGAAAAGGTTCTTCTTATATATTTTTATTAATAAACAAGAAGAATGTGTTCATCATTTTTTGGCAAATAAAACACCACTTTTGCTGCTATATCGAAAAAAAAAACTCCATTTATGACTAAATGACCACAATTTCTAATAAATATAATACAATAAAAACATAATAAACCAATTCATAGCTAAAGGGTGGGGATAATTTAACCGCGTGCATTTTGTCGATGACCACACGACAATTAACAGTGTCCATTAAAATGTCGTCGCCAATAAAAATATACTTTTCCGTAACATAAATTACTTGCCGCAAGTACGGCTTACACAATGTCATCGCAAGTTGTTACTAGTAACGTGTTATTAAACCAATTGTAGGATAACCACGCATCGCGGCTTTTGTTTTTAAACACACTGTTGACAGATGGTGTTTCCCACGATGCAATGCAGTGATAGCTCAATCGATTCTCGATATTGGAAATCTCAAATCACTCTTTGCCCTCTCACTAAGGCCCAGTCTTCATCAAAGCGGAGAGGAGGTGTGTTTAAATAGTAAATTAGATTTTTTATGTTATTTCCATAATATGACCTCTCAGCTTTGGTGGAAACCGGACCTTCCCTAAGACGTGCCCTAAACTTCATTTGGTCTAGGCTATCTGCAAGCCAACGCAAATTCAAATTATTTATTATTATTATAGTAGCCCTTTTCATTGCACATAAACACTTCCCATTAAGCCATGTATATCATCACAGTTTGTCATTTTATTCCTCGTCCACTTAAGGACTTTCTTCGTCAGATTTTTTTAATCAACGTGGTACTTTATGATGTTGTTGTTATGTCACTTTGATGCCGTGCTGCATGACCGATTCTCCGAGTAAACCGCAGTTCGTTGCTCGTGTGTGACGATAAAATATGACATTAACAATGATGGCGCAACAATATACCACGAAAATGTAACACATCGACTAGTAGTATACATCACGAAAATGTAAAACCTAACGCCTAGTTCAGCATTCCACATTATGTGATTCGCATCAAACAAATGTGTGTGACCTAAAAAAACGTTCGGCTGTTACTAAGATAAACAAGATCGCCATACCCAGATGAAGAGCGTAAGCTATTGAACTTGCAAGGTCATCCCAACGTTTTTAAAGCCCACAGGTTTTGGCGAGACATCCGAAATAAAACTTATAATTTTATTAGACCTAACCAAGACGGTTTAGGCGAGTAACCTGTTTAAAGTATTTTTAAACTGCGATTTAAAAGCAAAAGTTTATTACTTAAATCAAACATTTAAGTGTTATTTGAAATCTTGTATTTTGAATTTTAAGGAACTTCAAATTAAGATTTTAATGATCGTTTAATTTAATTAGTAGACACTAGACATGAAGGGAAAAGTCAAGAGTAGTATTACCTTATGTGCATCTTTTTTATTCCCGTAAGCTTGTTTACAACCCTAGGAACTCCAAGCCTAGAATAAGTAATCTGGATAAGCTTGCTCCGTTAAACGTCGCTTTTGCGCAGGATTAGCTAAATTGATCTATGTCATGAATCATAGCTTATAAACAACCTTGAAGGAATTAACAAACTTTACTCACAAAAGTTTAACTATCGTACCTAGATGCGAAATCAAAGTCAGTAGAAACAATTCGTTTTTATAGCTAAAATATTTTGGGTTTTACATGATTATGTCATCGTCAAAAACGTACACTATAATCACTGTTTCTTTCTAATTTTATAAAAAAACGAGCTTTATATATTTTATAAAAAAAATACAAATTGAATTAGTAAATATATCGGATACAACATCTAAATAAATTATATTAACCTCCTCGGACCCAATGACCTCACTCCCTTAGTCAGGTCTCGCGAATTCGCTAAAAAGTGGTCACACTACAGTTACGTATCCATCCGTGTGTGATTTAGTCCCATTCAAACTCGAGTTTCGTTCGGTAACGACCGCCTATGTAGACGCGTGACGAACTCGTCTCTACAGTGACGTTTTTCCAAATCGAAATATACCTGATAGGTATACATGGATGATATGATTGATCAGTGATAATTTTTGTGGTGTGGCGATAATTATGTGCAGTGATGGTGTTATAAATGGTGTTTGAGAGCTGGCTCGCGTTGGCTCGTTATTGTATTTACCTGCTGCTCGGCGGACGATTTGTCGACTTCGCAGATGATGGTAATGTTTTTGCTCGAAACGCTTTTTGCTGGACTTTAATGAGACGCAAAAAGTTAGATAAATACTCTACGGAATGATAGAATTGTTATTTTAATGTGTGCTTAAAATCACTTAGAGCGACAGTATTATTAATAATTATACGAATCAATTCATAAAAATGATTGCTAATAACAAAACAATATTCGTATTGCAAATCGAAAAACCATAAGCCGACCAGAATATTTTGTCTTTAAAGAAACAATAGAACTGTCTTATATTATTAAAAACAAAAAGCAAGTTGATATTAAGCTATGAATAGAATGAAGTCGAATATAAATTAATCATACTCTACAATAGAGAAGGATATTTTGTGTTTGAAACCATTCGGTAGTGTACAAAGTCTGAATGCCACTTAACACACAGATGACACTGGGCAGGGTCAGGTCAACGACTTACCTTTAAAGGTCTCAATGACAACTGATCATGGATTTTGCAATTCCATCTAATGTTATGATTCGTTGATCAAGATCGAAAGTGTATCTAAAACATGTGTAGCTCTATATAAATTAAAACGTTATACGTAAAAGGATACAAAAAAAAAGAAATAGATAAAAGTTTTTAGCTTAATTAAAATAGTAAGTTAGATGTAGTTAAAACTTTCAACTTTAAAGTTATTGGTTGATAGAGAAGTCCGAATCTAAAGTATGACGTCACACATTAGGACAGCAACACAATTTCCATAGAACAAGCTATTTTCGTTTGAGAGACGAATTTATTTGCTTAACAATGATATAAGTGTCTGCATCTCATCAAGTTTGTGGCAATTTTTTATCTATTTTTATCTACTGTTTAGTATATTTTACGGGAATTTCTTGACTATGTTATTGTTGATATTGCTATAATTGAAACGCATCAACACGTGAAATAAGATATTGACTTCTAAGTATTGCATTAGCAATTAAAAATGTTGAATTACAATATTATTTGGACCACTCACTTAAATCTTATCACTGTAGTAGTGATAGTGAATAAACTAGGAGTGCTCAGGGAGGGTGTTCCACCCTCCTTTATGGTAGGGTTCTACATGGTCCTTCAAGCCGGATACTAGGGAGGGAGTCCACCCTCTTTAAGGGAGGATTTTACATAGATTGTATATTGTATTTAACTGCTTAAAGTTAAATTCTAACACACGCTACTAACTCTCCTACTTATTTATTTTGAATAAATAGCGATGCTGCATAAAACACAAGGACACCCAGTAGCAAAGAGGTCAAGTAACGAGTATCTAAAACCTAATTGTTAATGACTAATTGTTTCATGCCACGATCTGGGTAATTAATTACGAGGTAGGTAGTTTATCTGGATGATCGTTTTGATAAGAAAATTAACTGTCTGAAAATAGTTTTCTTATTTGCGAATAAATTGGCAATTATGAGTTCAGCTCTTGCTTTACTGCATATTCCAGAATTAAAGTAAATACCGACTTGGATTCTCGGTCAGGTGTATTATTTAATTTGATTGATTTTTATAGAGATAAAATAATAATGTCTCAATAATTGGTTCTTTTGATGATTCTTCTTGTAGTGTGATTACAATTAATTACTACAAGGATGTTTTCCTTGGCTTGAGAAAATAGCAATGTATATGTTTATTTTACTTTTATATTTTATTATTCGGAAATCCCAAAGACCCAGATTTTCCTTATCTAAGTTATTTGACAAAATTCAAAGAATATGCACTTTCAATGCCCGCATAACATCCAGTTATTGACTCGTTTAGTTTCTGCATAATTTATGCATGCCGTCTTCGTTAGAGAATGGACAATCAGATAGGTACAATGTTTTTTCAAAAAAGGCTGCAAAAGCATGTTTTATTCCAAACGAAAAGAAACATAAAAACGGTGTATCTCAATAGCATCCTATCCTATTATTCAATCAGGATATAGGACGTCGCACAATTATACACCCGGAAAGGAATCGTAACCGTATCAACTAGAGGCGCTCAGTATTTTTTGTATGAAACTTCATACTGCAACGCACATTATCCGCACCGTAAGGTTTGCGATTGACAGTGCGCGAAAGGCGATACGGTGTTGATCCCTTTTCGAGTTGATTAGTCTGCTATGACCTTATGTTTAATTTGATTTGAATCCTCTACGCGCGAACCACAAGGCCAATTCTAAATCATATTCTAAATTCAACGCGCCCCCTAGTTTTAAGTCAACCCTATACAGAAATAGGATCTAATACAGCCTATTACTCCACACCAACGGCTTGCTTCTTAAGATGTTCGCACATCGTTGCAGAAGGTAGTAGATGGAAGGACTGGCTCCTCGCTTCTCTACTGTTGGGCGCGGTGGTGGGCGGCTGGGCGGCTCTTCGGGCCGGGCGCGCCAGCCGCTCGCAGGTGCAGCGTATGCTGCGTGACATGGAGCAGCTGAAGAAGGCTGAGATGGCCCTGGACGACATGCAGAAGGAGCTGGAGAGGGCTAGGCAGGAGCAGGTGAGCTTACAGCATGTTACAGCGAAGCAACAGCTTGCAAATGCAGCGCTTCTCTCACAGGTGACACTAGATGACGCTTGAAGATACGAGATGGCCCTCGATGACATGCAGAAGGAGCTGGAGAGGGCTAGACAGGAGCAGGTAAGCTTGAAGTATGGCGAGGCCAACCGCTTGTGTCCCAAAGTAAACCATCAGCTCAAGATGTCATCGCAGCTTTTAAGAACATCCAGGAGTAGGGATCTACTGCACCTTCTGTCCACCTTTGGAAATTGTGGCAATTTTACTGCTGGAAGAGTCATTCTCTCACGCTGAACTGGAGCATAAAGTCAAAGAATGACTCCGACATCATGATCCATCGCAGGCTATCATATCAGTCTTAGGGAGTCTATCTGCTGTAAGATCTTCAATCGAGATGGTTTCGATGACCCTGACGTCACACTAAAGAGCCTCCTGGTACTTCAAACATGGCTACTATTGAGCCTGGCCTCTAAGGACTGGCTCCTCGCTTCTCTGCTGTTGGGCGCGGTTGTGGGCGGCTGGGCGGCTCTTCGGGCCGGGCGCGCCAGCCGCTCGCAGGTGCAGCGCATGCTGCGCGACATGGAGCAGCTGAAGAAGGCTGAGATGGCGCTGGATGACATGCAGAAGGAGCTGGAGAGAGCCAGACAGGAGCAGGTGAGCTTACAGCGAAGCAATAGCTTGCAAACGCAGCGCTTCTCACACAGGTGTCACTAGATGACGCTTGAAGATACGAGATGGCCCTCGATGACATGCAGAAGGAGCTGGAGAGAGCCAGGCAGGAGCAGGTGAGCTTACAGCGAAGCAATAGCTTGCAAACGCAGCGCTTCTCCCACAGGTGACACTAGATGACGCTTGAAGATACGAGATGGCCCTCGATGACATGCAGAAGGAGCTGGAGAGAGCCAGGCAGGAACAGGTGAGCTTGAAGCATGCTGAGACCAACTGCTTGTGTCTCAAAGGTAACCATCAGTTCAAGACGTGGACACAGCTTTGAAGGACATCCAGGAGTAGGTATCTACTGCATCTACTGTCCACCTTTGGAAATTGCGGCATTTTTACTGCTGGAAGAGTCATTCTCTCACGCTGAGCTGGAGCATGAAGTCAAAGAATGATTCCGACATCATGATCCATCGCTGGCTATCATATCAGTCTTTGGGAGTCTATCTGCTGTAAGTGCTTCAATCGAGATGATTTCGATGACTGAATGAATCTGATATTAAGAATTTATTGAAATTGCTCCTTTCGTTTACAGGAAAACGTGAATACTGAAAAGAAGAATCTTGAGAAAAAACTACGAGAGGCCGGCGACACTCCGTTGTTGAACTCCACTTCTTCAGACCTGGAGGTGTCGCAGCTCAAAGCAGAAATCGAGGTAAAAAAGACATTTTATCTGCTAGTACTATCACAGAATAATAATATACTTCGTAGAGATGAATCTTCTTTATCGTAATCGAGCTGATCTTCGCAAAGGTATTTAAAAAAATACTCAATATCGTCAACAATATGGTGCAATTTAGCGGATTAGCCATGCCGGCGTGGCCGCCGCGCGTGTTTTGTTTTCGATGCTTACTCGAGGAGATGAACAGCCATACAGTCAGCGTCAAATACCTAGTTCGTGACTCCCGAAGTAGCCAAAAAGTTCGTAACACGTCTTTGTTACATTTGGAATAAGCTTGTGTTGTCAACTTTTTGGCCAATTAAGGTGTCACAAACTATTTGACGCTGAGTGCTGACTGTACTATCGACTGCAGATTTTATTTGTTTACTCTTTTGTTGAAAAAAGATACCCTTGGGTTTAGCTTCGTTTACGGTCATTGTACACAAGATGCATCAGTTATCTGGCCAACAGGTCAAAACAAAGTATTCAGTCATTGTGATTTGCTCAGTTGATGAACCAAGTAACTGTAACTAAGTTTTCTTCATTATGTTGCATTTCCTTTTACTGTCAAGGCCCTCAAAGTTAATTAGTGGATGTCTCTTTTGAATGAGAACGCAATTTGAATTGAGTTGAGGAAAATTCGTCTTTATTATGGACACAATTTGAACTGTTGCTACAAGGAAAATTGTTTAACAGCTCATAAACAGATAACAATGTCAAAATAATTTTGCGATATACAATTTAATTTCTGTGACGGGTCTGGGTGTTACTATGTATAATATGTATGTATTTAAAAAAAAAAAAAGTATATAAGTAGTATATCCGTTAAGCTAGCACCCATAACACAAGCATATTAATTGCTTACTTTGGGGCTAGATGGCGCTGTGTGAGATTGTCCAAAGATATTTTATTTTATTTATTTTATTTTTTATACACCTTTTCATGTTATGAATGTAAGGCGCGTAAAATCATCGAATATTATAGTCGTTAAGCCTTATCATGGGCCTTAGGACGGTTTGATAACATCTGACAATGGTCCTGGTCCCGCTTGGTGGTAAGACCTGTATGTATATAGGCTTACTTTCCTTTGCAATATCTTCTTCTGCTTCCTCTGCCTCACCTTGCCCCGTGCCTTGTTAGCTTTCCCAATCATTCACCGCCATTTGATTAAAAATAAAATAAAACAAATAAATATCCTTGGACATTTTACACTGCGCTTCTAGTCCCAAACTAAGCAAAGCTTGTACTATGGGTACTAGACAACGGTTATAAACATACTTAAATACTTTTTTTTGTAAATACATACTTATTATACATAGAAAACACCCAGTCCAATACAAACTAATATGTTCATGCACACAAATGTTTGTACTGTGCGGGAATCGAACCCGCTACCTCCGGAATAGTAGTCCGTTTCGAACCACTACACCAAACGGCCGATTCTATCTTGAACTTCTTGTTCGTGGAGTCCAAATACTTTCATGTCCTTTTCCTTTGCAATATAACTTCTTACATTGTTGTATTTGTTCAGCAGTGGACATCCTGTGAAAGGATGATGATGTCATGCTATAAATCACTTATGAAACAAATCTTTATCCGATAATATTAATGTATGCCAACATTGCCAACAGAATTATTTATTGTGAAACATAGGTGTTTACAAAGACTAGTCTCTGTAAAAACCTATGTTTCACAATAAATAATTTTCAATTTGAATCGGATATTCCTCAGATGCTCCGAGCAGAGCTTCGCCGCGCTGAAGGCGAGTTAGAAGACAGGTGCTGGGCCCCACCAGCTGGCTTGCAGCAGTGGCTACAGCTAACCCACGAGGTCGAGAACCGCTCCTACCTCCGCAAGAAGCAGCAGGCTGATATGCAGCTGCAGCAAGCTAGAGAAGCTGTGAGTACAAACCCTAGGATCATTTTAGGAGCGTATAGTAGTGGATATAGCTGATGCATGAGGTCGAGAACGGCTTATACCTCCGCAAGAAGCAGCAGGCTGATATGCAGCTACAGCAAGCTAGAGAAGCTGTGAGTACAATATCCTATGCTATTTCAATAATTCATAATCATTTTCTGACATTTGCATGACATTCAATTAATAATGATAACTACTTTTTAATTTTAAAAACATAACCGTATTTTTTGTAATATTTGTGTGTAATATATGTACGATAGAATATGTTGGAAACTTCTCTCTCTATAACCATTTGTAACCGTATTCTGGCAAATAAACGATTTATTTATTGATTTCCTCCTACCCAGAGTAGGTGTAAGAGTTAAGGTATGGCAACACCAGCAACCGCCAACAGTAGTTACAATTTACGTACAAGGTCGAGGACCTCTTGAGGGAGGAGCAGCTTCCTGAAGCACCAGGTGGATATTGAACTGCAACAGGCCAGGGAAATCTCTCTGCGGCCTCTCTTTCCCTCTTTTATAGCCGTGCAAACTGCAAACAGAGTACTAGGAGTTAGTGATGTACAAGACTCGAGGCGTCGAGTCCTATTTTTGAAGCCCTGAGGCAGAATGGCAAGGCTCAGTGAGCTCGGTAGGCTCGGTGCCCCGAGTTTATCCGAGCTGCGAGCTCTCTGAGCCATGCCTCGAGGCTTTAAAAGAGCTCGAGCCTTGAAAAGAGCTCGAAGCTTCAAAAGAGCTCAAACCTTCGAAAAAATAAAAAAACATCACCTACTTACATTGATTTTTAATATTTTTTTTAATTTTTAAAATATACCTATATTTTATTTTGTTAGGAAAAGATACTCGTAATTCTAATTGCTTGTTGTCATTATTTTGATATAACGTGTCCTTTTATGAAAAACGTTTTTGAAATATGTATTTTATTGTAGGTATCAGAATTCCTGCAGTTTTATTTAATAGAACGATCTTAACATAAAAGTTAACTGGGCTTTCAAAAAGGCTCGAGCTCTCAAAAAGGCCCGAGCTCTGCGAAAGACTCCAAGCTTCATACAAACGAGGCGAGCCCCGAAAAAGGCTCGAACTCTAAAAAGGACTTCCGGGTCGTCGAGCTTCATACAAACGAGGTGAGCCCTGTAAACGACTCTGAGCTCTCGGCAAAAGGACTCGGAAGCATCGAGCCTTGTACATCACTACTAGGAGTCCATAGCATGACCAGCAGTTGATTATAAACCTGTTTCGGACCGAAAAGGGGGTTACTCTGGTATTAATGTACATAACAAACAAATTCTACTGATTAATCAACTATGCCTTGATTTCTTTCAGTGCGAGAAACTCCGCAAGAAGCGATCGAGTCTAGTCGGCGCGTTCGTTTCGACGCATGGCAAGTCGATCGACGACGTCGACAAATCCATTGTCGAAGCGCGCACCGCTCTCAACGAAGTCACTCAGGAACTACAGGTAATGAATATAATAATTATAGGTATAGGTATAATAATTGAGTGCGTATCCATATTTATACTGAGCTTGTGACACAACATCATCATCAGCAGGTCATTTAGTTTCCACAGCATGACCTTGAATCTCTTTAACTTACCAAAAGCATAATTATGGAAGATGTGGCTTTAGATCTGTAATTTGTCATGACAACGGATTGTTTTGCTGTCATAACATAAATGTAATATGGTTTGTTGCTGTTAAAACTATGAAAAGAGGGATAAACATGACAACTTCATCATGACATTTACAATTTAGTTAATTTAACAAAATTAAACAGTTTGAGAAATTGAGTCGCGAGAATCACGGTTTATCAAAATCTGGTGCTCAAGTAATGTTATTTTGTAATTCCCAGGAGAGAATGCACAGGTGGAAACAGATCGAGCGTCTGTGCGGCTTCAACATCATCAAGAACAACGGGCTGCAGCACTTAGAAACCGCGCTCTACAGGAATATTAACGGCAGGCTCGGCGGTAGAGGTTAGTTCATTACTAACAGACAACTGAAGTAAAATTTGATTTTTTAGACCTTAAAACAAGCCAATAAAGTTTATTTTGTGATAAACCTAGGTACTACGATACTACACAAATACAACATAGATAGATAAACAAAATAGTTGATGCATTGTAGTTCAGTTAATAAAAAATTACCATCCCAGTTCTTTGTCTTCAAATGGTTACTGTAGATATTCAAACATTAAAAGGTCTGATATGCATTGTAAAGAAATAGATATTTACCTGATAAGTTCATCCATACTTTGGTAAAACTCAAAAGTGACTGACTGACTGACATAGTGATCTATCAACGCACAGCCTAAACCACTGGACGGATCGGGCTGAAATTTGGCATGCAAGTAGATGTTATGACGTAGGCATCCGCTAAGAAAGGATTTTACGAAACTCCACCCCTAAGGGGGTAAAGCTTTGGTATTTACCTGGTATATCCAACCATGCCTGGATTTACCTGGTAAATTCAGCCATGCTTAGTTATTAACCTGTTTTCTTGTATCTTTGTTGCAGTGCGTATGAGCAGTTCTCAAGACGACTTAAGCGTGGGCGACGACACGTCACTATGCGGCTCAGGTAACGACCACGATCACGTGGAGTGAGATCAAAGTTTATTGTACCGCCAGCACATCAACCTACTACTAAATTCAAACTTCAATCGATTTTGAACTTTATATCAATGAAATAGAGTCCACAATCGAATGAGGAAATTTGCCCTTGTAATTCTTACGATTAAGTTTGAAACTTTTTTGAAAATGTTCACAATCATTGAAGTTTGACATTTGTAGGTTGACCAGGCTACTGTACTTCGTTTTGAACATTTACAAACAGGCACATCATATCCACAATAACACGGAACGAAAAAAAAAATCTTAAGAAAACGCGTTCTTTGTACTTTTTTGTAGGACAAACTATCTATCTGACCCAGTTATCAAAAAAAGTAATCCAGTCTCTATTTTAAAATATACAGAATAAGTGTTGAACTTTTATGAAAAGTTATAAATATCTAATTATATGATTGTCTCTTTTTTATAAATGTTCAAAGTGTAACAATGATTATAAAGATCGTAAATAATGACCCTGTGCAGTATTACCACGAGAAAACTTAACTAAAAAGACACTTAAAATTACAACTATGTAGCGTTAGATTTAGTTAATATTTTAGAGAGAAATATGGTGCTTGTCTACTAGGATAATCAAAATTATAATGGCAATTATGAATAGGACCTTATCGTCAAATATTTAGGATATAAAATTGAAAAATATACGTTTTTTCTATCGTGGTAATAAATATCCTTAGAATTTTAGTAACAGTTACCATTTATATAATATTATAACTTTTATAATATTGCGGGTAAATGCATATGGTTTAAGTTTTCGAAAAGTTTTTAAACGAGAAATATTTTTTTTTGTAAATAACCATAATAAATTTAGCATAAAATGCTGTTTGTGATCTTAGGAATGCATTTACCTCGACATTTATTTTTAAATAACCTGAGAGCTGGGGTTCAATCTAATAAAATATCTGATGGAATAGGATTAGGTCTTCATAGGACTTCCCGTGCAATATCTATCGTTAGGGCAGTTACTGATAAAAATCCCAGAAACTTACAAAGCCACTATAGTTCGCGCAGCAAGGCTTGAGGCGACCGACATTATAAAATATTTTTACCTGTACGCGAGACGCGTATTCTGATTGTTTTGTGGGTACTCCTCAATTCAAATATTACATCAGTGTGTTCGCCTCAACTTTCGTTGCTCGATCTATAATATTACTGCTACTTTAAAGCAATATTCTCGGATTCAGATGCAGAGCATTATAGCTCTTAAGTACAAAACTTAAGAACTATAACGCTCTACGCTACGCGACGGTATCATTTTTTTTTCTTTTTTTTATCCTTGGAAAATGCCGGTAAACACCTACGTATAAGAATATGATACACAAGAATATTTTTCGGATACACAATAAGTTTTAACTCTAGCCCTCACATCGGATTGTTAAATGAAATATGTTTTATACTCTGTGCCAACGGATAGTTTTATATCACTAACATTTCACTATTAGGCAGCTAAAAATAAATAAAAAATACATTTTATCTTTATACAAAGCCAATACAAAGAATCACATCTTATTTTTATACAAAACCATCTATGAGTAGAAGTTAACTTTAAAAACTAAGACGCAAATATTTTATTTTAAAGACGACGTTGACCTTACCGTAGTTTATAAGAAAAATAATACATTTTATTAGATAATTCGTTTAGTGCTCAAAAAATTAAATCTAAAACTATGAACTCACGATATCGCGCTGTGACTTTGACTTAGGCGATTATCACACTGCGCCGCGCTCCGCCGCGGTACGCGGGACGACAGACAGATTTAATCATTGTATGCAAGTACCTCAGTTTGTATAGAAAACACGCGCGGCACAACACACTGACAACGCGTCTGCGTGCGGGATTTTTTATATGAAATCACGCGGAGCGCGGAGCAGTGTGATAATCGCCTAAAAGCTTTTTTATTTTGCGTTTATTCTACGTGTCTTTTGTACGAGCGTAGACGTGCCAATAAGTTTATGGGTTAATATCGATTCAAGGGAATGAGTCGCTATTGTAAAATAGCTCTTACGGTCATATCAGTTAAGCTGGTTTTGGCATCGGTGATGCTAAAATTAATTCTGCTACAAAATCATGGATATAGATATACAAAACTATATGTACTTAAGTCACCTTATATTTCCTACTTACATATGTAAATAGATTATAGATTTACTTGTAAATAACCCCCTTGTTGGCTCGGTCGAGTAAAAAGAGAAACGTGCTGTATATTTACACAGTAGGTACTTTTTATCACAACAATATTTCTGGGCCCTCGTAGATTTTAGTTATATCGTTGAAATCGGTTTTTAAATTAATGAAGTAATAGTTTAATAATACATACCCCACAGCCAGTGAATTTATGGCCCGGCAGCCTTTAATATCAAATGACACTCGTATGAGTCCTTCAGAATCGAGCTATGCCTTCAGAAAACAGTACGGCTAGCACGAAAAACTTTCGAGTTCAAATCGTTTGCGTAGGTACTCGAATCGCCATCAAAAGATTTAGTAAGAAAACTACAACAGCGCCCTTGTGAACGTGTCGTAAAGTGAACTTAGTATGAGATGTGGTTGCACGAAACTTATTTTGAGAATCAAAATTGTCACGTTATCGTTTAATTCGAAGATTGAGTATCGAATTTTATCGAATACGCAAACGATTCGAAGACGAAATTGTTCATGCTAGAGGTACAGATACGAGTGTAAATTTTAATGAGCTTAATATTTTTTGCGTCATTAAATATTTTTGCAGCCCATTATTTTGTACTTAGCTCAAATAGTGACTAAAGCGTTTTAAAGACAAATTATTAGTGTGGTCATCTCATCTATCATACTTCTTTTCTTTTATTATTTCGTGATACTACTCGCTTAATAACAATATTTTATCTTTAAACGTAAATTAAACTATGATTAATAGGTGTAGCATTTCAAAACAAATAGATATTTAGTTAGTAGTTTAGTAAAGTTATTCTGTAGATCTAGTAATTTAGCTTACAAGCCTGTTTCATTACTTACTGATAAAGTCCCTGACAATACACTTATCTGTCAGTGAACTCCACTTTCTGGTTTCATAAGTCTCGAATAGGGATATTTCACATTTTGTATAACCTATCTATATCCTCCTGAGACCCCCGGTGTCACTCGTGACACTTGAGTATATTTTTTTTTTACAGCGCCATTTATTGGTATTTATGAAAATTAATAAAAGTGTGTGAAACGTTGGAATATGTCACATATCCAAAAAATTGCTATGCCTCGCACGAAAGGGTTTTTGATTTTCTAAACATTAATTGAAATTTTGAATTCGCGCGACCTCCGACATGACACATTCCAAGAAAAGAAAATATTATTTAAAACAAGTTTTTTTGTATTGTTTTCTGTTTTCTGTGTGCTACGGTAATATATCTCTCAGATTATGCGATAAAACTATTAAAATATAACTATTGTAATAAGTATTTTCGTCAATTAATTCGAGTGTCACTGGTGACACTTTGGGCACTCGTGACTTGAAATATGGTCCTTTTTAGGATTGTCTGATGGTAACGTCAAGTCAATTTTATGCAACTTTCATGAGACAGATGATGAAAAAATTGATGTTCCATCCTCAGATCAGACCCTGGATATCATCCAACACCAGAGTACTTGTCAATACCAATCAAATGAGTCAAAACTCGACAGAGTTACATCGTGTAGTCACAGAGTTTCTATGGCTACCTTCCGTCTCCATCATCAGATCAGCTCCATGATCTCATTACATTGAAGTCTCATCTGAGTTACATGTCTATGGAAAATTTCAGCTCAATCGGTTGACAGGAAGTAGCTCTAATTCAGCTTCCAAGATTTTACTCAAACATACATTCACACATTTATTGCAAGTTAAATTAAAGTTTGTAATAACAAGTTCAATAAAAGCTGTTAAAAAGTAAATCTTATGATTCTAAACAATTGCAGATCAATTTGAAACTAAAAACACCAATTTTACCACACCTGAAGTAATTAAAATATTAATTAATTCAAGCCCGTTTTAATGTCTTTGAAACCCGTAGTGTCACTGGTGACACCCCCCATTTTGGCGTATGTTGGGGGGCTAGTTTTTTTTTCGCATTTTTTGTTAGTTGTACATATGAAACTTTGCCTGCCTTCCAAAATTCAAGACAATCCGACAATTTTTAGGGGTCTGGGTCTCAGGAGGTTATCCAACAATATTTTGTTAAGATAGCGTTTTAATTGAAACCTTAATTAAACTCCTAAAACTCGTATCACGAAACGAAGCTCCAAATCTCATTCAGATTTAACCAGGTTGAAACCTGTGATTGATGGAATTTCAATATTTAAACTAAATAATCTCACTTTTGAATCTAAAACTTGAGTATAAATTCATATTTGAGTACCGTTTTATGATACGGGCTTAGTGAAGAGTACAAACGCATTTACGGAGTGTTTTCTTTTATTTTTTACTAAATTAATTATTTAATTTTTCAAATAAAAATGTTTAAAACAAAACAACGAGTCACTAGCTAGTTACTGTAGAAAATGACGTTTTTAGTACACTTTGTTAACCTAACTCTATCCTGTCCAGTAGTGGCTGTAGTACATTAATAGCATTCGGGTCAAAAAACGTAGTTACCAGACTCTGAAGTCATCATCACATATACCTTTTTATTTATTAAAATATCTTATTATACTAGTACGTCATGTTTCATATCGTCATTTTAGAGTTCCTCACAGATCTTGTATAACTTAGTTATTATACATTTTTGATGCTACTAATTAAATTAAGTTTGGTCATATTATTTATTTCAGTAGCCCATAAGTCTTGTATGTATTTCTGTTTTATATTCGATTTAATAAATATTTGCGAAATGTTCATTTGATCACAATCGATGGGAAGCTTTCATACATTTCAGTGTATTAGAAATGCATTAATTAGTTTCTTATTTTTTCTACTCCTCAAAATATGTTGTGTGTATTTTGTATGTTATTTTGAAATGGGTGTTTAAATCAGGTAATGTTTCAGTTTTTATATTAATTTTAAACTTGGGATCCAAATAAATAAGTGGTAAGACGAATATGTTTTAAAAGCGGGTGATGAAATAAAATTATATACATGAAAGTTATATGTATATTATGATGTAAAGGCCAATAGATATAACATTTATAGCAGCTCCTTATTTGGTATGCGGACAACATACACAATAATAATAATATACATTTCGGTAATAATTCGGTAAAAATATATTCGACTTATCACAAGAATACCACAAAAGTTGGAGCCCAAGTCGAAATGCACACGGATTATGTGTTTCTTTTTTTTCCAATTTTTTGATCTCAAATATAGCAAAAGCATGTATGAAATATACTTTCAGATTTAGCTGATTTTGTATATATTTTTCTATCGGTGTGGGTTTTGTATCCTTGTGCATGTATAGTTATTAACAGAAGCGTTTTTTATTTGTTTTAATGCAAAAGAAAACGTTTTACTGGAGCTTCCGTTGTTAATATTTTAATTTAGATTTTCGCACGTTTTCGCCCCTTTAGTTGAGTTATCACCGTATTTATTTACTTTTTCACCAAACCATTGGACTTTGCACATTCGCTCGTAACTATAGTTACAGTAGTTTTTTTTTTTTAATTATTAAAATTAGCAATTCGATCGCTGGCGTTGAACAGTTACTTATTTATTGAGCTTATCGAGAGAAATACGAAGTATTATAAATATTCCAAATTACGTTATATAACCTCAAGCATAAAAAGGTTTTTTGTAACCTTTTTCTCAGCTTTAGAACTAACCTTTGCGAGTAATGGCATTCTAACTAAAAATTATTATTATATTATATACAAAAACATCTAATAGTTGCTTATAGTTAAAACGTTATATAAAATACAAAAGTGTATTTTTTTACCCCCATTATTACGCGATATTGAACAACCATATCAAATAATATTTTTATATTATTCTTATGCACGTTTGAAAGCTTTTGACGATTGTGATTTTGTTTTATTTTTGCCAACCTCCACTCCCCCTCCCCCTCAGTGTTGCAAGTTTATTTACCATACTAGATTTGCTTTCAGTGTTTTATATGGCAACACTGTTGCTCTGCTACTGACCAGGTAAGACATTGTAAGATTAGAATGCTTTATGTAGTGAAATAATATCTAACAATAGAATCATTGCTTAGCATTTATTTTACTTGACTAACACAAAATAGTATAATTTCATACATGCTTTTACTTTAGGATACAGGGAAAAAAAAGTAAAATTGTAAAAAAAAAAACACCTATTGTGTAACAATGTTACAATATGTCACACTAACTAAGTAGGCTACATTCTGTATTTTACTAGCGATTGTAACTTTGTATAATAGGTACTTATAAAAATTACACCTCTCCAAACAGCTAAAATAAGTTGTATAATTGTGAACTTAGTTATTTGATTTTGTCGCTGTATAATTTGTAATATGTGTTTATTTATACAGTTGCTGACAATTTCGGGTGGCGAGAAGATTCCTCTGGCAGCGAAACCGATGCCCCCCACTACCCCCTTGATTTGAGATTGGCCGAAGCGAGGTAAGCACACTTGACATTGGCGAAATCATGGTTTAGTTTTGGGCAAAATTATGTTTCTTCTGCGTATATTATAGAAACTTTTATAATTATTAGAATTTGCAAACTACCGTGTAATTGTTACCTATCGTCGTTTCAGCCAAATGACGTCCACTGCTGGACAAAAGCCTCCCCCAAGGTTTTCCATAATGAACGGTCCTACGCTGCCCGCATCCAGGCTCTTCCTCAATTGTTACCTATGCTAATATTGAAAATACCTAAAACTAAAGATCATTAAATTTATACACCTCCCAATTATACACTCGTCGTCAAATAAATCGCACCTCCCGCGACAAGCACTTTGAAACGTATGCATCCCCACTTCCCACCAATATTGGCACCATTTAAAAGCCTAGTTCTAAACTTCATTTCATTAAAGGAAAGATTTTTATTTTTTACCCTAAAAATGTGTCTTTAGAAGGATCCAGAGTCACTTCTTCAAAAAATAGGTAGTTACGTTTGAGGGCCATTCTTATTCTTACGCATTTTTGTGTGAGATGTAAGAATAGCATATGTTTTTAAAGTAAATCAGTGCACTGTATATTAATTTACTTAGCAAAATACCTCTATTAACTAGGCCCAATATCATTTTTATCATAAAACTATTAGAAGAATATTTAAAAAAAGTTACAAGTCCAAAATGTCACGGACCGTGTAGTGTGAGATTCCCGGATTTGGACATACAATATTTTTTTCTGAAGAGATGTTATGTCATTTTGATAAATATTACAGTANTCAATAATGTGTTTAACTATCTTGACAGAGAGTTAAGTTAAGTTGGGATTAATCGCTATCCATCTGTTAAAGAGGACACGTGTAATCATTGTTTGGTTTTATAACCATAAAATTTGGTCTAATTGATCGTAGAGGTGAGCCCAAAGTGAGGTCTTCTTTCAAGTCACATTTATGGTATATGTTAATCTTTTATTAAGAAATTAAATGTGTTTTTCTTTAAGGATATTTATTGGGCTTTAAAATAACACCAATATTGTCGGGGTACCATGATTGTGTCAGAAGAAAATCTTTAAAGTTCGCGTCGCGGAAGGTGCGGTTTATTTAATGTTGAGTGTAGTTTACACTACTCCAACTTAGGGAAAAAAAGATATTATTTATTTATTTATTAGTTTTAAATTTTTCTACGTGTAACGGGAGTTCTTTCTTCCTCCAACAATACCAATGTAAAATGTAATATTTATCTCTCAAACCTCCAGGCTACAACTAGAAGAGCGCCTAGCTCAAGAGGCGAGAGAGAAGAGGATAGACGATCGACTGGAGAGGAGGCTTGAAGAGAAGAAGGCTTCGATCGAGGAGCTGCGGTCCAAGTGTCTGTACACCGAGTCGCTGAAGGGCTCGGAGGACCGACGGCGCGACCCGGTGCACTTTGTGCTGGGGGGAGACAAGTGAGTAAAACATTATAAAGTATGAATATATGGCTTGAAGAACTCTTAGGTTATTAGGGCGATTACGATTTTGGCAACTTTAAAAAAGATGAGGGACAAAAAAATAAATGCGTATCTTTTTCGTTTATGTATAAACTAACTAGCTTTTGCCCGCGGCTTCACCCGCATGATATTTAGTTTGTCACATATCGTCATAAATTATAGCCTATATGTTAATCTGGGTTATAAACAATAATATTGTAAAGTTTCAACAAAATCCGTTCAGTAGTTTTTGCGTGAAAGAGTAACAAACATCCAGACATCCACACAAACTTTCGCATTTATAATATTAGTAGGATGAATATGGCTAGAAGAATTATATTGGGCAATATAAAAAAAGGTGGAACTGCAACGAAAAATTAATACCAATTTTATGCGTACATCTTCCGAAATACCGCCGTATCTCATTTTATATACAGCAATCTTGATGGTGTGGTTGAAGCTTTAAGGTCGTTTTATACACTGCTATCTTCTTCTAACAATTAAGGTAACGCTGCCCAAGATATGATCCCCTCTCGAAAACTTATTTAAACCACCTTCCAGCTACTTAAATAATGAACACATCCCAAATTTTGAATAATTTGAACTGGACAGGCAGGACCTATCCCAAGCATCTTACTCCCATACGCTCGCATTCTTCCCGTGTGGATGTCGTAACGGCGACTAAGGAGAAATGTTCGAACGTCATAATAATTATGTCCCCAATTCGTCTGGCCAGCGTGGAGAGCAGATAGCCGTCTTCCTGTCTCATTTAAGCCGAACGTCCACCGCCGGCTAAACTAAATGAAAACTAAACTCAGTGAACTATGCTAAGCTAAACTCGAACTACGTTGTCCGTCCACCAATAAATAAGCTAAAACTACGTTAGTGATGGTCAGTTTGATGTGCTAGAACGTCGAGTTAACCGAGCTAAGTTAGTTCCACTTAGCTGGGGCCTGGGGCATTTCACGTAGCTTAGCTGGCATAGTTTGCGGTGGACGCACATGTATGAAAAACTGGCTCAACTATGCGAGCTAAGCTAAACTAACTTACTTTAAGACTAAATGGCATGATTATTTTGATTCAATTCTAGCGTGAACTGGACAGGCGAGGACCTATCCCGCGCGTCCCATTCCCAGTCCCAGCCTCAGCTGCGCGCTTCCATGCGTAGCGTGGCCGCGCCGCTGCCGCCGCCGCGCCGCCCGCCGCCCGCCGGCGCCATCGTCCGCTCGCGGAGCACCGACGTCGTCGCCGGGATCGACGAGCCGAGAGCGCCGCCGAGGCATCCGTTTGTGAAGCAGAAGACACTCGTTGAAGGTGTGTTATAGTGTGTATATAGTCCGGTCGCCGAGCACGTAGAATTTCGTCCAACGACCCCAAGCTACCCATCCTTATCGCTCGCGTGTAATTATATCGCTGTCGTGACTGTGCGACGGGCGGTCGCAGTGAGTGTGCGAGCGCGACAGAAATTCTACGTGCCCGGCGACCGGGCTTTAGATTCAAACAGAGAGCTGCCTGGTCCATCGTCCGCTCGAGAAACACCGACGTCGTCACTGGGATCGACGAGCCAAAGACGCTTGAAGGTGCGTTTCATTGTTATATCCCAGGTCTACAGATTTAACTGGACAGGCAAGGATCTAGCGTGGCCCTGCTGCCATAATAAGTCGTCGCCCGCCGGGGCCATAGTACGGTCGCGGAGCACCGACGTCGTCGCCGGGATCGACGAGCCGAGAGCGCCGCCGAGGCACCCGTTTGTGAAGCAGAAGACGCTGGCTGAAGGTGTGTTATAGTGTGTATATAGTCCGGTCGCCAACGACCCCAAGCTACCCATCCTTATCGCTCGCGCGTAATTATATCGCTGTCGCGACTGTGCGACGGGCGGCCGCAGTGAGTGTGCGAGCGCGACAGAAATTCTACGTCCTCGGCGACCGGGCTTTAGATTCAAACAGAGAGCTGCCTGGCCCATCGTCCGCTGGAGAAGCACCGACGTCGTCACTGGGATCGACGAGCCGAAGACGCTTGAAGGTGCGTTTCATTGTTATATCCCTGGTCTACAGCGTTAACTGGACAGGTAAGGATCTATCCAGTTTTGGCCCTGCAGCCATAGTAAGTCGCCCAACGCCGGGGCCATCGTCCGCTCGCGGAGCACCGACGTCGTCGCCGGGATCGACGAGCCGAGAGCGCCGCCGCGGCACCCGTTTGTGAAGCAGAAGACGCTCGCTGAAGGTATGTGTTTTTATTTTTGAATCCCTGATCGGCGACTAGACAGGTGAGGACGTGAGAACAGGTGGAGATATGTGTAGATTCAAATAGAAAGCTGCCACCTGCCGGGGCTATAGTCCGCTCGCGAAGTACCGATGTCGTCGCCAGAATCGACTGGCTGAGAATGCTCAAATAGCATTAAGTCCACCTTTTGTACTATTTTATTGTGCAATAAAGTTTTATAATAATAATAATAATCAACGAGCCAAGAGGGCCGCCGCGTCATCCGTTTACGCTCGCTGAAGGTATGTGTAGATTCATTCAAATAGTAACTTGCGGCCGCCCCTGAAGCTATTGTGCGCTCGCGTAGCACTAAACGTCGTTGCCGGAATCGATCTATTTACGCAGCAAAAGACGCTCGCTGAAAGACATTTGACACATTGCTCGATTCGTCGCCCTGCAAAGAACCTACATACTGACAACACCGCTTCAGTGATCGTCAGAGATGATTTTGACCCATTTTTAATCGTCAATCGTCCGATAGGTTAACTTACTGTACTCTCACACGAGAAACCTAGGTTATTTTAAACTAGAAACCAAATAACAAAACCAACTTACACATTCATAATATCCAGGTGCCATCGAATCCGACGCACCATCGCCTTCCAGCAACACGCCACCTGAAGAAGAGTCCACAGACTCCTCATTGATGGAGGACGAAAGCGCGCCCAAGCCTCGCAAGCGGCGCCTGCACCTGCCCTTCGGAAAGAAAGCCAAAACGCCGGCGTGACACGAGCTCACAGCGGCTTAGGTAGGTACTTACGCCTTATGCTTCAACCACAAGATGCTGATCGCCATCGCCGGCGCGATCCTATGATCGATTGTCCTATGACAATGACAGTGGCCTATTTTTTTTTTTTTTGTGGCAACCAAACCTCTCTCTCAGGTTTATTTCTGCCAATGTCGAGTGAAAAATATTGAGATAGTTATCAATAGAACGTGGGTGTTTCAGTTCTATTGATTTTTCATGGATTCCGTGGAGTTAAGTATGCCCGTAAGCAGGATTCGAGACGCCACCGGGTCCAAAGCGGGTTGTTCATACGACAACCCACTCGACACTCGATGCGCGCTCAAATTCGAAGTATTTCAATGTTTTTTATAATTTATCACTTCACTGCACTTTAGAACACAAAATAACACCAAATTTGTACACTAAAGTCCATTAAATAATAAATTGAAACCATTAAAACAGATCGACCATGCTTCCCGTTCAACTACCCTCCACGGAATCCGACAGTGGCCTAATTCACGTATTTTGACACCGTCAAAATCTCGTTGACGTTTAGAAGTCGTCCTATTGGAAAACAGTACCTCTAGCATGAACAACTTTCGTCTTCGAATCGTTTACGAAAATTCGATACTCAATCTTCGAATTGCAATTTTGACTCTCCAAATAAGTTTCGTGCAACCATTTCTCATACTAAGTTCACTTTTCGTACTAAATCTTTTTATTGCGATTCGAATACGCAAACGATTCGTGCTAGCCGTACTATTCTGAATCCGTATTCACAAGGATCATTTCGAAAGAACGATTACTCGGTGCAGTCCTGTTGTCCCCCCTGCTTGGCCCCCCTAGGGGAGCCAACTCGATAGGATCGCAACTCAGCGATTTGTTGTCGTTGAAGTTTTGTTACGTGAATAAGGCAGCCAGGTCGCGCCAATGAGGGCTATCGTTTTAGCGCTCACCAGTTAGCGCCACTGTAGAGTAAGGTCCTGTCACTTACTAGTAGCGAGCGAAGACAGTGGCACCAACTGGTGAGCGCTAAAGTGGTAGGAGGACTATCGCATTTGCACTCATCAAGATGGCGCCACTGTAGAGTAAGGTCCTGTCAATCGCCAGGGGTGCCAACTGTTAAGTATAAAAACGATAGCCCTCATTGTCATGGGTCGCGCGACCTGTCATTGGCCTATGATCGTGCCGGCGATGGCGATCGGCACGCGATGGTGTGGTTGAAGCTTTACGGTTTCTTGTCAGCGACAAAACTACTGATTGACACAACAACCATGATTTAATACCATCTTGAATTCTATGTATAAAATATTGAATGTGGTATTCACATTCACAGGACAGTACATCTGACTACACTAGGACGATGTGCCTTTATCTGTACTTACATAATAAAGGTTTTCGATTGATTTGGAATATGCACTGGCTTCCATTAAGCTTATACGTTGATAAATTTTATGAAGACGGTAATCGGCTTCTTTTTGGTCCACTCAAAACCATAGACAAAATAATTATACTGTCGTGTGTTTTGAAATAACTAATCTAATCATAGACTATTTGACACCACCAATCAATTGACGTACTTTTTAAAATTGCAATACAAGCAAGTGTCACTATTTTGACAACTCAATTAAACTACTTTTTTCAATTAAATGCAACCAAAAATCTTAATTTACAGGTAATTTAAAATTAATTTTTTAAGACCAGAATGAAGTGTATTTTTAAAATAGTTGTGATTTCGAATTATTGGGGAATGGTGTCAAATAGTCTTTCACTAACATTGTGCTGATTTCCCAAGGAAAGAAGCTGTGTCAAAGCGACATAATTTTTCATCTCCATATTTTGTCAGTCAATGTAGCAATGTTTGCTGACCAGAAACGTGGGCATTCTCTGAACTGGCATTGTCTACCTCAATCTATAAAGATCTGCGATTTGAGATGTGGCCAGTGTCTTCGAGCCTAACAAAACTGAACCTGTGTGTTTGTTGACTTAATTTATTATTGTTACTATCTATAAATGACGTTACCTACAGCTTTTTAAAGCATCTGTTTGGTTGACTGGTACAGTCTGCGTCAAATAGTTCGTGACTACCCAAAGTAGCCAAAAAGTTCGCAACACACCTTGGTTACAATTGGAATAAAGTTTTGTTGTAAACGTTTTGTCCACTTTGGGTATCACGAATTATTTGACGCTGACTGTAACGTCATTTTTAGGTAGAATTTACGCTAGGGGCACACATTGTCGTGTTGTGTCAGTCAACATTTAAAGAATGTCAATTAGTCTGTGGGTAAACTTGTCTTATTTTTTAGAATTTGAATACGGCACCAATCAGAAAAGTTGTGAACACTCATAAGAAATGTGTAGACCCAATATGGTTTTAAAGCTTCACACACGACACGACACTCACAGTAATGTGGCTCTAGCTTTACATGTTAATATAGGTTATTTAAGATTATCTTGACCACCTTTGTCAATGAATAGTAATTATTAGATAAATCATGAGAAATTGTGGCAAAAAGGTTGTAGATGCGACAAATATGGTACTAACTAACGAGTTTGATATTAAAATATAAATATTTACAATTTGATTGAGTATTTTTGAAACCCTGTAGAGTGAGCACATAATATTACTGCGTGACCAGAACTTTGTGTTCTGTTTAGTATTTCAAAATAGTGTGTATAGAATGAGAAAAGTTGTGTATTGTAAATAATTTATTGAAAAGAAATAAGTAAATGGATCAGATTTTATTGAAAACAAACTGCTGAAAAGGTTTGTCAGCTGTTGTAGATATACTTTGATCTATTAATTATTTTGAAGCAACTAATCTTCATTATTTATTTTTAATTTTATATCATTTGCTCCATAAATTATATTATTTTAATATATCAAAAAGTTTCTTCTTACAAAAACATTGTGTGGTAATTAAGACTTTTTCTTGAGTTCTTATTTTATAAATCCAGTGTTATTTTATTATTTTTATTCACCTGACAGTGTAGTTAACCAACATGCCTGTTACTTCTTTGTAGTGTGTAAATATTTGCATATCTTTTTTAATTTTCGACTACCTACTTATATATTTATTATTATTTGGAATGTTATTTAATGAGATTCACCCGCTTTATTTGCTTTTTTATTGAGTTAATTGGAAGTATGCAGGTTCGTGTAAGATACAATAAATAATTTAAATATTCTAACATTTAACAATCAATCAATCGTCTAGAGACACGAACCGGCGCGGAACTAAATTTTAATTAGGTTTTAGTTTGTTTTTATTCAATATTTATAATGAGCGAGTTGTACAGTTGCATGATTTTCTTTTCGCTGAAAATGTCAATTTTGTAGTTCAATAAAATATAGTTTACATTGTATTAATAAGTTACCACCTTGAAGCCTAATGACATTATACATTATGATTACATCAATAGGCAGCTAACTGTACAATGTTTCTGACATCTCTCTGTGACTCAAACTGTGCAGTTATTTCACGAATGCTTGAATATTTCATTTCACTGTTACAGTTGAAGATGATTATTACAACTTTCTCATTATGCTGTTTGTCTTCCTATTTTTTCTACTTTCACTTTATATTGTCGTCTAAAGAATTTTAACCAGGAGCATTCGTTAAGCAGGCGATGCAAGCGCACTATGCTTGTATTAGAAGAACAGAGAAAACATACAAGTTTTCAAATTAACACTAGGCAAATTGACTATAGAATGCTCGCAAACTGAACGCTCCTGGTAATAAATAATACTTTACTTCGGAATGCTAATAATAATCATCTTGAACTCCGTAACATTATCATTAATGTAAAGGTTTATCATAAGTGAAGTTTTCGTTCGCTAGAATAATTTACTAATTGCTGTATTAAGTTATTAACAGTTTACCATATCGCATCATTCCCTCTTTGTGTAGTTTGATAGCGATATATGTTCCTTAGCTGTATGTAGTTTAATTTGTAAGGCAATGAGGATCAGTACTGTTGTAGAAAATTNAGTCCATAGATCATAATGTACCCTTGGAACATAACGAAGACCCTCCCATAGTCTATGAAGAGGAGCACATGTTAGATGGTTTTTTCCCTGGCGGAACCTGTGGCGGGTACTTCATCGCAATCAAGTTCAGGTATTCCAGGAATTGCTGATCACGTAGCCGTACGGGTCACGTAGATGATTTGGAAAAAAAGAAATTTACCATGGGACGAAGATGGCATTGCTTTTTTAGGTCATTCGGAATTGCCCACAGAAATATCTGACCTGGAGGAGCCATTTTAGATCTTTATCAAGTTCATAAACGATGACATTGTTTCGAAAATTATAGTCGAAACGAATTTATACATTACTCAAAAAGGGTTTACTTCAAATATTCGTATTCTATTAAGACGAATCTCAATAGAACTGACACGAAACACCATCTGAACTAATATATGCTCCTCTTCATAGACTATGGGAGGGTCTCCGTTATGTTCCAAGGGTAAGGTCTTCGTTATGTTCCAAGGGTAGATTATGATCTATGGACTCCTCGTCAAGATCATGCAATAAATCCTGTAAGTTTGGGTAAAAATCGATGTTATCATCATCTAAATTTTCATCATCTTCTGAGACTGCACCATAATTTAAAGCAGCGAGCTGCCTCAATTTCCTTTTCAGATAGCGAGCCAAACATGCTGAAAAGAAAAGTATGACTCTAACAACACTTATGTACACTTTATTTGAATAAATCGCCAAATATACCACCGCGGAGACCCCAATCGCGTCTCTGCGTGCCATTGAATCGTATGAGCGTATGGATTTTTTGCGTTATTTTTCACAATTTCCATTTTTTAAAATTACCTATCGATAGCTTACTTTATTCTGATGAATAAATGTCATTACAAGTTTTTCTCTAAAACTGATAATTTGGCTAGAAAAAAATATTTTCTATCCACGCAGTACGCCGGCAGCGTTCGGATCGGATACAATGACGTCATCGTCCCCGCGCCGGGCGGTCAGTGAACCATTTTAGTAATTTGGCCATAACTTCGTCAATTTTTGTCGTAGAACAAAAATTTTTGCACTGTGTATTAAGGATTTCTTAGCCCTATAAATCTGCATTCACAGCTAAAAATCGAAATGATCCTCATTTGGTGCTAATCAAACATTTACAGACTGAACATCGCGCATGGCTCAAATTTTTATAGAAATATTTGAAATTCTCTGTTTAATAATGTTTTGTAGTAGTGTTGCCTTCTGCCATAATGTCACGCTTTGAATTGAGCCGCTAGTTAGCGCTATTTTCAAGGCAGGTGAATAAAATAACGAAACGACAATGTAATGTAATGCTGTTAGGATTATCAAAATTGACGTAAAATTATACTGTAGCAAATAAAACATTGTACTTATCTGCTTGGGGCTGTAGCTAGCAGATTACGTGGTCTTCCAGAATTCAGAATTGGCAGAACATAGATTCAGTCACAGTAAAGTTTTAACACCTCATCAACAATTTTGTTCTATCAATATTTACCACTACTTATGGCCCTAATAACCGTACTTAATAATTTTACCATTAATGATAATAGAATATTGTATGCAGTACAAAAACGTCAAAAAATAAAAGCCATAACGGAAAATAAGGATATCAGTATAGTACCTATGTGACAATAGAATTCATTGTATGTAAGACCCGTATTGTGAGATGACGAAGTTAAATCTATACTTACTCAAGAAAAGATTTAAACCTGCCCGAGTTCTAAATATTTGAATTCAGCCAATCACAGGCTTGATCTTATCTTGAGTTTTAATCTAGTTATGAACTTTGTTTCATAGTACGAGCCGTCTAAACTGATATAGACTGTTTTAGGATTTTGAATTCGTGAGGGTAGTTCTTATTTGCACCGATTTATTTATATAAACGTATTTATCCTAGTTTTCTCACAAAGTAGTTGTTTCACGAAGTATGTTTTGTAAACAAGATCTGACAGTGTTATAAAAGACAAATCGTGATAAAATATATTGTTACATCATTGAACGTTAATAAATTTATCTTATGAAGTTTCTGTGTATCTTTTTAACCTTCCCAATGACATCCTGCTTCCTTAACCAGGTCACGGAATAAAAGATCCTTTTGAGGATATTTCCTCTTAGTTCAGCCAGTTGCTATCTATCCGCTTAGTAGGTAGTAGACGATTCCAGTAGTTTCGTAGTTTCTAAATCGCACATACTCCATTCTAAAGAGTGAAAATATTTTCTATGGAGAGGCTGCCAGAAAAAATATCACAGCGCGCACCACACACCCACGACGGCACTATCGCTCCGTATTCACAAACGATGCTTGCTTTAGTGAAGAAAATCGAACGCACAGCGTTGAATAGCTCTGTGGTTCGTGTCACCCTGTGCGTCCACGCGCACTGTGAGACCTCATAGTAAAGTTTGTGAATAGGGGGCATGTGTCTATGCCAATAAAGTGTAAACAACAAACAAACCATGATGGGGACTAAAAGAATCGAATAAAATAAATTACTTCCCATGCGGTGTCCCCAGTATTGGTTAATTTAAAAAAACATCAATTTAATATAAACCATCGGCTTCTAAGGTGGTCGCCCGTGGCTATGCTCCTACCTATACATACGTCGTGTGTATTCTCCTCAATCCCTATGGGCATAAGTTTAGAAATGAAACTGCGAAAATATGTAATTATTAATTTTATTTAAAAATGTTGTGTACAAATATCCTATAGCTGGTGTATGTACGCAATGCGGCTTCAACATTTTCTTCTGCCAATGCTTATCATCATAGAACATTGGCGTATTATCACGATGACCTTTTTTACAAAACATTTCTCACTGATGTCGACATCAACAATAACATTTATGCCTAAAAACGAATTTTCGAAATAGGTACAATCTATAAAAATATGTGATGAATAATAACTAAGGCTGGAACCTGCTCAACCATGTAAGATAATTAAATTAGAATTAAAATTAAATTTATTAACGATACGGGACATGAAATTTCATAGCATGGAAGGTTTTATCAAAATAATACCGTCTCGCAGACCGTTAAATTTACCAACAGTTGTTAACAAATCATGAGGCAGTGTTCTTTACATCGCGTCTAACGACATATCACTTAGCTATCATGCCTTCAGCACCGATCGACCTATACAAATAACTTTACATTTTAATGGACACAAATACGGTAGTGAATTAAAGGCGGATAGCATTATAGTGCCAAGTTGCATACCTCTTTTTAGGAATGTCACGATTTCCACCTATTCCCGAGGTCCCATAATCCGAGCTCAGCTGTAACGGGAAATGGCCAAAACTCGAAATTTTATCAAGCGTTAGACAATGTAACAGGCACAATACATAGATTTAACGTTAAATGAACTTACAGCTTATCCGGCCTATGAGAGCTAACGCTTGCCGCCCACCATTCCAAAACGGGCGTTCCTTACAATATACTATACAGGGGATATAAATTTACATTAACAATTTGTCAGAATACTGAGAAAATTACCAGATAAGCGATCAGGTCGCAAAAATCTAAACATATCTAAAAGCAATATCCTGCATTTGCCTAAGTTTTAGTAAACAGATGATCCCTGACTGGAGTGTAGACCGTTATACTGAGCACCAAATCGGCTTTCTTATACGTGCGGCTGGCCGTTGTTAGCGTGCTACTGCTGGTTGCACTCGGCGGGGTTCTCCTGGGCGCCCTTGATGGCCTTCTTGCCGCGTCTCCGTGGCGCCGGCTCATCATCTTCGCTCTCCTCCGTCGAACACTCTTCCTCCTCCTAGTAAGTCAGACAGTGTTAGGACAACATCGATGATAGGGAATCTTAGCGCTCGAATCTTTTTGTTGGCACCAGTTCGTTAGATAGGACAAACAACAAAACTAGAATGAAATTGAATGATTGATTTATTGTGAAACAAGAAAAAACAATTGAACACCATAACTTTCTTCCAATCTATTATTTTCTTTGATGTTCAATTGTTTTACTTTCGTACGACCTATTGATGCTCAATTGTTTGCCTAATGTGAATATTCTAATAAATTCCCAAAAATGATAATTTTGTGAAATGAGATCGACGCGTAATATCCTAACAAACTGGCGCCTTCTACAATAAATTACCTTAGCGTAAAATTCCCTATACTAACAATCTCCGCTTCGTTACCTCGCGATAACAGTGAATTCTGCAACCATCCGCATTCTGGAGTACAAACTCGCAACTAATCGCATGCAAACAAGGATAAAAGAAAATAAAACACACATGGGTAAAAAGCATACAATTTAATGTCACCATTACGACATCATGCCAAAACATAAGCCATAACCAGTATGTAAAACTACCTGACGAGCTGCTAAACATTGACGATATTATGCTAACTTCAATAGAAAGTTACATAAATAAAAAAATATACATCTATATTCGACCTAGCTATTGTCAAGTTATTATTAAAATACATCTCTGAGTAAGATCACAGTTTGCGATGTCCAAGTTGAATTTAAAATGCATTTGGCACAAGAGAGATTCGGAAAGACCCTCGAGCGGCGTCTCTTGGAATGACAACATTGAATTTCGACACACATAGTTAAATAAGCCTAAGAGAATAGTAATATCACATGAAATTTCAAAGTACACAAACGAATATATAAAATTCGTAAACAAAAATACACACTATAATTACTGTATAATAATAAATAAAAACGAGAAATTGTATAACTAAACTAGAAATGCAATATAGGTATTGTAACAGACATCTAACAAGTAACATGCATTAAACATTAATTAATTATTAGAAGGCACCTTATTGTTCTCGCTTCAAGTCTAAAATGGCTTAGAGCCGCATAATAGTGCATCTAAAACATATTTATCTGTTCGAAAGATAAACCATGCATAGAACAGCCTCTGGGCGCGAGAAGTACATCTCATACAAAACTAGCGTAAATACTATCGATTTAAGACTACCCGACGCATCGCAGGAGTATTCGTTATCACTTACGCCTCGGCGAATAGAAATTATTTGGTATAAATTTCAAAATTTCGATATGGAGTGATATGATGGCGGTAGGTAAGCTCTATACTAGTGGCACACAAGTGCAACGATACGGCCTATGACCACGAGTCGGCTAAGCGTTGCCAATAGACCAGAGCGGTGCCGCGAGGCAATATAACGCTAGGGCGGCCTGCATCAGTCCTCCGCGTCCGAAACTTCCTCCGTCCCCGAGTCTTCGTCAGAGTACGAATCCTCCTGAAACCAAATATACCGCGTTTTGTTCGTGCACCAATCGATGCCCGCAGACGTAGATACCGTATTCACATCGCGCACAATGTTTACGCACACGAAAATTGGGGGACTTAGCACCGAACTAGTTATAGTTACACTCGGAAAACTAGGCTTGGAGAATTTTGATTTTTTCCACAATTGCGCCAAAATCCGTGGCGATTTTTAATTTTTATTATGATTACCGTACCTTCGTCTGTCGGGGGGAGGGATAGGCAACACACACCGTACTAAGCAAGCATCTACCATGCAACTCAAACTACATGTAGGGAACACTAGATGGCTGTAGAATTCACTATATCGTAGAAGCGCAAGATTGTAATGTACTTTCAGTGTATAATGTCTACACTTGTGTATACAAGATTGCAATCGTCTGTAAACAAGTGGTTAAATGACAGATTCTTATCACATGATATTTAAAAGCACCGCCAAGAAGCTTTGTAATGATTAATGATTATTTCCCGAATTTATTGTGACTCGACCTACATGTCTAAAAACCATACCATACTTAACAAAGATGTTAAGAAGTTGGCAAAAGTTTAAATCAATGATTTCAGACTACATTCACGAATTTCTCTAAATTAATATAGCATTAAAATTTTAAAAAATCACTGTTATTTTCTAGGAAGTTACACTGTTGTTCAAATAAGGAAGTCTGAATTCACTGATTAATTTTTTACCCGTGACTACACACAACTAACATTGACAATGGTTAATAGAACTTAGACATGCAAGACAAGTTAAGAATTTTAGTGCTATGAATATGTTGTCTTTGAGTTCCTATCATGTGTTATTGAGAGTAAAAAGTGTAAAGCTATGTGTCTTTCATTTTATAACATTTTGAAGAAAATCGGTAAACTGTGTTATCTCTGTTTGACGCATAAGATAATAAATCAACTCAAAAAGTGTTAAAAAAGTAAAACGCTGCTTTGAAATCAAATAGCACGTTTTCTTTTAAAATTGATTACATATGCAGAAAAGAGAAATTTAACTAAACAAATGGTTCACCAGAATCATTCATTTAGAAGTTCAACCATTGCTAAAGACCTTTCTCAATTTATCGAGATGAGATTGGAATGTTAAATTAAGAATTGCGTGAGTGTATCTGTAACTACATATACATCGTGTCCCAAATTCAACGATAAGCCGGCGCCATAGGGTGGACAAGTTCTTGACTACTTTAGGAAAAAAAAGAAAAAAAAAAACACGATTTGTAAACACTATCTTTAATAGTTCATCCAAATAAAGGAATTTTGACTTTACTATCCTATTGTTTATTTCTGTTCCTATAGTTTAGGAAAACTTACTAGGTAGTTAAACGATAGGAAAAATAAGAAAAAAAAAATAAAGATAGCTTTTTTCCTAAAGTCATGGTCATGTCCTTATGGCGCCGGTTTATCGTTGAATTTTGGGACACGATGATGTATTGTTACGTGTCCCGAGTGTCTTTGTGTGTGAGACTGACCTCCTCCTCGTAGTCGTCGTCGTCGTCGTCGTCGAGCCCTTCGCCGGTGTAGAGCAGGACAGCGCGCGACACGACGCGCTCGCGAATGTAGTGCCCGATCTCGAAGTCCGCGGTCAGCAGCGCCTGGTCGGACGCATACACAATCTTTACATAATAATATAAAATGCTTTGTCCTAAACTGCTGATGGTAGAGACTTGAATGGTGTGTTCTTTCCATCTGATAAGAGATTTACCAAAATTCTACCCCTAAGGGGTGAAAAAGAGGCCCGAATACTGAGTATACTGACTAAGCCTAAACAATAAACATTCTGATGGTAGAGACTTGGAAAGTGTGTTCTTTGTATGACTAATTTTCGTTTTCACCATCAATCTCAAATTTTTAGGTGACCCCTATGAAAACAAAATGCCTGATAAGTGTTACCATAGGGGTCGCTTAAAAATTAGGGATTGGTGGTGAAAACGGGCATTAGGCATGCGATAAAGGAATTTCCAAAATTCTACCCCTAAAGGGTTGAAAAAGGTGGTAGGTAGTTGGTATGGCACAACGCGAATCCAACGATCGACTAAAACATTGGTTCCCAAAGTGGGGGGCGCGCCCCCCAGGGGAGGCGCAGACCTTTAGAGGGGGGCGCGGGTCATCTGTGTACTAAGTATAAAAAACCTACGACCGCTGAGAGAATGCATTCCAGACTGCACGATACGACCAATAAATAATCTGACTAGAGGTGCGCGGAATTTTTTGTAGGCGCGTTTCAAATAAGTTTGGGAACCAATGGACTAAAATTTTGCTTACGCAAAATGGAACAAAATTTATGGAATACGTGTAGCTTTTTTTGTTGGAATTTATTTCCTAAAGGGGATAAAAAGAGGTAAAACGTAATTTACTTCGAAGTTGTTATCAATACTCCTCAGTGCGGCGAGAAGAAGTGTTAATATTTTGTGAGCCAAAGAAACCATTTCTTCTTCATCCTATAGGAGTGACGCAGGAGTCTCACCTGGATGTCAGGCATGACGAATGGCGAGAAGAAGGGCTTGTATTAAAATTAAGACAAACTTGCGATACAAGTAACACAGAAGTCTCACCTGGATATCAGAGGCAAGGGTCGAGTTGGGGTCATCGGGCATAGCGGGCGGTGAAAAGAAGTTGAAGAACGAATCGGCCTGCACCGACTTGGTGACGGTGCGCACTGAGCCGCGAGACTTGTGCTTCTGTTTCTTCTTTATCGTCTTCACTGTTACATTCTTGCCTTTCTTCCAGGCGATTTCGCAACCCTGTTGGAGATTGAAGTGGATTAGTCAAGTGTTTTACATAATTCGAATGAATGAGGGCTATCGTATTTATCTTAACAGTTGGCACCACTGGCGATTGACAGGACCTTACTCTACAGTGGCGCCATCTTGATGAGTGCAAATGCGATAGTCCTCCTACCACTTTACCGCTCACAAGTTGGTGCCACTGTCTTCGCCACTAGCAAGTGACAAGACCTTACTCAACAGTGGCGCCAACTGGTAAGCGCAAAAACGATAGCCCTCATTAAATAAAATTACTAAACTGCAAAAATCAATTTATGAGTTAACTAGCTATGCACCCGCGGCTTCGTCCGGGGTTTTCCCGGAAATAATTCAAATTTTTCTCGCCGTTAAAATAATCTTTGGACTTCAACGAACATTAAAAAAAAAAGAATTGGTAAAATTGGTCCTGGCGTTGTCGAGTTATGAGATTCATTTTTATATTATAGAAGATTATCATCAGGTCATTAGATCGCAATTGCAACGACCCTCTATAATTTACCATTGGAGCGAAGAAAAAGCAATTTTTTTTTTCCTTTTACGATAGACATTTCCATTCTGCAAATTTCACAATAACCATAACAAAGGCGTCGCTTAACCCCATCCTCATAGAACCGACACTTGCAAAATAGAAAACCATTTGCGTGAAGGTCGACGAGCTTTCAACGGCACCTCATTACTGAAATGGGTACATTACCTTCGCAATTTACACTACAACGCTAGACAACAATCGAAACCTATTTAGGTGGTTTTATTGCCTTCTGTGCTGATATTTTACGATACGTTAAACGTATGATTGCACATGTAAGTTCTGTAACACGCGAGGTTTGTAGTGCAATTTGAAGAAACCCATCATGGGTCAACAGTCAACACCCAGACAGACTGAATTCTATTCGAACTCCTTTGAAGTACAGTCAGCGTCAAATAGTTCGTAACACCCAAAATAGCCAATAAGATCGCAACACGTCTTTGTTACAATTGGAATAAGGTTGTGTTAGCAACTTTTTGGTCACTAAGGTTCAGTTGCACCACCTAACTTTGACCGTAATTATAACTATAACCCAGTCTTTCCCAAAGTGGGCGATAACGCCCCCTTGTGGGCGCTGCAGGATTAAAGGGGGGGCGGTAAGAGACCCAGAAAAAAAAGTCGGGATGTTGTGTAGAGGCTTGGGAGGCGTCATCTACTAGGAGGACTCTTAGACACCGACTGAGTTCGACTCTTGACTACAAAAATGGGGGGCGCTAAAAAATAATTTATTATCAAAGTGGGCAGTAGACTAAATAAGTTTGGGAACCACTGCTATAACCGGTGTTTTTTGTATGGAGTTTGACAGATTTTTGATGTTTGTCAAAGTTAAAGTAAGATGGTGCAACCCAGCCTAAGTGTCACGAACTATTTGACGCTGACTGTAGTATGTAGTCAAGATTAAGATCGCGGCTTCAGGACCCGCCTCTTTCAGTCGGGGCAGTCAGTCACCTAAGATTGTAACGTTAGGTCATCGCCACATTGCGTGCCAGAAGCGTCATTTACAAATAAAACAAGTCGTATAAGACAAGTTTTAGCTGGTACTTCAGAACAGCAGTAAAAGATCGTCGTACTTTCAAATAAATACACAAAAGCCAAAGTGGCTTTTATTATGTAACATAGGCCTCCGCGGTTTGTATCGGAGAATAATGCCTAAAATGCTAAATGACAAATCCCTACCAACTTCATTAAACTAAACGGTACAATTTAGTTTGCAGGGGGTAGTGTGCCAAAACCGCCTCCTCTATAAACATCTAACAATAAGATTTTGTTTTATCCAAATATTATCATCAACATACCTTGCACGAGTAGATCTCTGGTCCCTCAAACTCCAACGGGTTCTCTTCATCAGGCTTGCACTTCATCGAGTACTCCTTCGTGAGCACTGTGTTTGTGAAGTAGTCGTTGGGTGCAAAGTGGAACTCCAGGGTGAATCCGATGGGCTCCTCGTGCATTTGCACTGCGGGCAAAAGTGGTGTTTAGTGTGTGAAGTGGTAAATGGGGTGTAAAGTGGCGATGTGAGTTGCCTCAGTTGGTGATGCATGTTAAGAAATCAATCATGATTCTCAGATAGTGGTGTAAGTTTGTCATCATAAAATATTGCAGATTTGGTGTTGTATATCATCATTATACAAAATAGTACAGGATAGTTTTTAAATAACGCCTAATGCGTTAGATAGATAAACATACCAAAACAGCAAGTTAGATAAGTAGATATTATTATATTGAATAGTATAAAAACTTTTCCAAGATCAACAACAAGTCTAGAATACATTTACTCCAAATTGATATAAATCACTACTGGTGAATTATTATGGCTAGCAATTCACTAGCAATCTGATTTAACTTTGAATTTAAAAGACTGCACATTTTTAAATGCGCAATATTCGTGTTAGCAAAAAAGTCCTCTTTTAGTAGACTGCAAAAACTTTCCTTATTTCACTTACAAATAAAGTCTGAAATAGCTTATCAAATAAAAATCTTACCTTTGATGTCTTGCAAGCATTTGAGGATGGGCTCATCGTGTTCCTGCATCATCTCGCACAGCATAGAGACGTTCTTGAATATGGTGTACCAAAAGTCTGGGACTCCCTTGACATTGGGGTCCATAACGGGCCTGCGGAGTAGAGACGGGCTTGTGAATACGGGACAATATTGGGGGTGTTGGGAGAAAAGTAGGCGGAGCCTCAGTTGGTGATGCATGTTAAAAAATCAATCATGATTTTCAGATAGTGGTGTAAGTTTGTCATCATGTAAAAAATAATGCCGATTTTTTGTAAAATTGCGTAATAATACAGAAATGTCTTTTGCCTTGCGTCCGTATAAAAGGAAGCTTTACATTGTTTTTTCCTTATAGATTTTTTTTCTATACACTGCAGTAGTATTTTGTTACAATTATAAATAATATTTTGTTAAAGATAAGTTTAGAGTGTATCAGAATATTTATTACAAAGTTTCATATTTGATTTCATCCAAGCCGCATAATTCCCACAAACGGCGAAGAGAACAAAATTCATAATTTTGCAAACAATTATCTAGTTGGTTGCGTCGATTGAAAAAATATCGAACACACCCAACGACTATAAAACTAGCGTTGGGCGGTGCTTTCATCGATGAAGCATATTATCGACACGCTCGGCGCCCGCGCACTTCATTAGGCAGATAACACACTAAGTTCCAATGATCACAGATAAACGAAGGTAGATAGAGAAAACATTTAACGATCGATTCTACTCGCGTAATAATGATGTGACGCGTAACCAATTACTAAGTTCCGGGAACGTATTATTTTTGAATAAGTAATTGGGGCTAAAATTACCAAATTAATGGTTTAACCGTTCGGAAGTAGTTAATCGCGTGTTAAATATAAATAAATATCAGTATTTTGGTATTTCAAATTATCGATGCGTCAGCTACAATACAAAAATGGTATCATACACGTAGGTGCGTAAAGTATGTACAGTATGTAGTCTGCCTTAGACAGAAGATAAACATTTAAACGAGCACGCGTATTTACGCTCCCGTTGTGTAAAAGATGCTCCACTTAACTGGCATAATAATAAATAACAAAGTTTCTTTCGTCAAAATGTATTTGTATTGTTAATTAATTAGTGTAGAATCTCATAAATCAAATCATTTTTCATTTTTAACTTAAAAAAGCAAATTGCGAGTTTCTCGATTGGCGATTCAGAATCATGATTTGAATTTTTTAGTAAATAAAGGATTTTTCAGTTAAAAGTGAAATCTTGGGGTAAGGAATTATCTTAGTAATTTTAAAGAAAAATATTATCCATCCATTATCACATAGTTAATTAATATACTCCATTGTACTGATGTTATTAAACAAAACCTCGTAAGAACTAAAGGAATCTAAGGCTGAGTTGCACCACCAAACTTTAACGGTAACTCACGGTTTTGACCGATTTTTGACGTTTGTTAAAGTTAAAATAAGATGGTGCAACTCAGCCTTAGAATCTTCATTGCAGTCGTAAAGTTTACGCTTCTGGATACGTTCTTGACCTTATTCCCGAGTATAAACCCGTTTCCTTGAGTTAACGTTTAATAAAAGCCGTAGCTACGTAGCTGCAATACAAACGCGTCAAGTCTGACATTGGCCGAGTCCTTGTGTCCCAGATAAAAAATAGAGCATAATCAAACATACCTATAGCGATTGCTTTAGTGAATAATATTGTTATTCTTTTTTGCGCTTTCGTTAACCTTTATACGGCATTGCGACTGAGCATGATAAAAAAACTGACTTTATTTGTGCTATAAATTTAACATTGACGTGCGATCAAGCCAGCATACCTGTGCTCTATTATACAGGTTTTCGACTGGCTAGAAAAAATACACGTATCCGACTCAAGGCAGATAAAACTATGGCTTATGACAGTTGGACCTTGCCACGTCACTATTACCACGTCAGCAATGCGTTTACAAGACATTTGGAAGGTAAAAGCAGCTGTCAAATTTTTTTCTGTGTGCGGTCTTACAAACGTCGCACAGTGATTCGAGTAGAACAAGCTAGCTGGACAATATTATTTTTTTACTTAAATGGGTTTAATACACGCATTACTTACTTTTTTGTGCAATTTAAGATTAATTAGGCTTGTTATTATAATTATTATAGGTAGGTTTGAAAAAAATATTTTTTTTGGTAATAAAATATTTATTTCCTAAAATCAAGAGAAACAGACTAAAAAGGAAAGAAGAAACTAACTTTACGGTATAATAATAATTGGTCTTATGATGTATTAGGTGTTAAAGTATGAAATTCCCGTTTTTTATGGAGAATTTAATGAAAATCAATTTTTCGATATAAACATTTTTGCGATTTATATGGAACAAAGAATCTCAGTTTTTTTTAATTTAGTGGGTAGACTGGGACAACATTAATGACTTGCCAAGTTGCTGTGGCCAGCAGACATTTGCGCTGCAGCTTCAGCAGCCAATATCAGTTCTCAAGTACTTCTTGAGGAAATGAGGTCTAAAAGTCTTCTTCTTTTCGTCTTTTTGCTGGACTCGTCGAACTCCTTGAGTGGTCGTCCAGGTGTAGAATCTTTCGACGTGGAAGACTGAACTTTATGAACAGAAACATGTAACACTATGGCTCCGGGAATCCACTCAGTTTTGTTTTTCATGAAGCGTTCCCTGTTTTGCCGTATTTCGTCCATTGAAATGAAATTGAAATGCGACTGATGCTATTCTTCAACTCTCTCAGCGAATTTTCGTGATCCCAATACATCACATTTTGAGAATATAAATTAAAAATCATGCTATTCTGGTCACTTTTTCAATGTTTTAATCATTAATCAAAAAACTTGATTTTTTATTAATCTGAAAAAATAAAATTGTTGTGCAAAAGTGTGCAAACTGAAACTGGTATATTTGAATACTAGAGGGTTACAGCTACAATATATATAAATTCCAGACTGGGGTCAAGTGGGGGCATACAACTTCTAGTCTTCCAAACATAAAATTTTGAGAAAAATATAAAGGTCAACATTTCGCCATACTTTTTAAAACTATGTGCATTATTATGTACCTTATTGTACAGAAAATAAAAAGTACTTACCCTTATCTTCAAAATCCATCACACAAATATTTGGTCACCATAGTAAAAAATAATGTCAGGTGTTGTCGAAAGTCGAGCAAAATTAGGAATTAAAAATTACACTATCCTCATATCCTCACTTACCATGTTAATTACTCACGACTAGGTAATTAACAAAGTAAAAAATTGTGGAATCCTTAATGTCTGGGATGTTGTTTATCGTTTTTTATAAACGATAATCAGAAATTCAACAATGACTTTTGTCCAGCTAGCTTGTTCTACACGAATCACAGTGCGTCGTCAAAGTCTAACGTGCTGCTCAAAACGTCTTATTTGAAAATGCCCTAAAACTTCTGGCATATGAGCCGTAGAATATCGGCAGCTATCTTCCTATTGAAGCTACATTACCATAAGACTTAGGCCTGGTTCAGAACTTCAGACAGCGATAAATCATAATGTGGTCAAATAACTGCCTTTTTATGTTGTGTATGGGAAGTTCTCGTACATTCTTTTTTATGCATAACAAGGCAGGTATTTGACCACAATCGCACCTGGTGTTAAGTGGGATGCATTCTAGGATGGTACAGTTTAAATACGATGTAAATATTGCTTGTCTTCTAGTGTATGTCTTGTTGGTTGTCCTATTAAATAAATATCTAGGATGGTACATAACGTAGCCGCATGGTTACCGCCTCAGTGCTTCGCCAATAAGAATCATCCAGAAACCACGCGGTTTTCGCGCGTTTCTGAACCTATAGCTTAGGAGTTAGGATCCATAAAATCTCGGCAGCTGTCTTCCTGTTGAACCTACATTTACCCCTTACATGTAAATGTTGATGTACTCACTCGACAGGCTTGACCTCGTCGCCGGGCGGTTTGGGCTTGTCCTCGGTGCCGTCAGTGATGGCCGCGTTTTGGACCGCGCGTGCCAATTCCTCCTCCTCGCTCTCGTCGCGCCACGGGTTGAGACACTCGTCGTCATTGGGCTCGTAGTCACCGCTGACGATTTGGGCGCGCTGCAGGAAATGTTCAGATTGGTATAAATGTTCACACAAAATCGAGGATTCTTAAAATGTTCTTCAATGGCGACGATAGATTAATTACGTCGGTATGGACTGGATTTGATTTAGTGGAACGCTGGTTTAATCCCTGTTGACTATGAGACTACTGGAACTTGTAAACTCCGCCTTTGGACTGGGTTCAGCAGTCCTAACACAAGAGTATTTCTCTAAATGCGAGTGGTTACTAAACTATTCAGTCGTTTATTACTTTAGTAACCTCTCACTAAAGTAATAAACGATTGAGTTTGTCGTAAAATACACAAGTAATCTTTGAAAAAGAAATACCAATATGAGCTCGGTAGTGCGACTGGAAACAAATCTAAGGATATTTAGCAATAAGTTTGATTTGAAGCTTACCTTTTCAAACAACGGCTTGTACAGCTTCTCATATTTGCACTCGAGGGCGTGAACCTCGCTGTAGAACTTGGCCTCGATGTCGACGAACTCCTTCTGGAGCGTTCGGAGAGCGCGCACGCGCCGCCGAACGTTCGGCGGGAGGGACGCCATGGCTTCGGCGTGGATGCGGTTGGTGATTGCGGCGAGCATCTCGTTACGGGTGATTCCGCTGTAGACAAAATAATTATTTAGTACAGTCAAGTGTCAAAGTTCGTGACACCCAAAGCACCTAGCCAATAAGTTCGCAACACGTCTTGTTACAGTTGGAATAAGGTTGTGTTATCAACATATTGGCCACTTTGGGTGTCATGAATGAACTATTTGACGGTGACTGTACTAGAAATAAATACAAATCAATATAAGAGCATTCCTTTACTTTCTTTTGAGATAACGCGTGTTTCGCTAAGACAGGCTCAAGATGTAAAAGTTACAGAAACTGTAATTACGATTAGGTCGCAAATCCTGACGCGAATTGCTTCCACATACTTTTACATGTTCAAATTTTCGTTGAATTGAATTCATTGAATGCATCAACTTTGGGATTGAACGTTTTCGAGGAAAAACAACGAATTTCTAGTGCAATTGCCAAAATAAAATCAAATGTATACAGGAATAAATTTCGTGCAATCGAAAAGTCCAAAAATATCAATTAATCATGCACATCGATAATTTCATCTCTAATTGACGTCAAATGTGATGAACGAACGAATCATTGACAGTTACAATATAGCTATTAATGAAATAAGTAATCATGAAAATAATACATTTTTCATTACGTCGCGTTCTTTAATAAGTTTTTCATTTAGCGTATTTTCTGTTTGCTTATTTGATGATTTCACAAAAGATTATTGATTTTATTAACTTTTTTTACAGAAAAAGACAAATAATCCGATGCGATGTAATCAATTTATTGTGTTTAATAATTTTAATTCGGGACAAAAATGACTATTCCGCGACAGGTAGATTACTAGAAATAATACTAATATTATTTATTGAAATTATACAAAACGAAACGTAACCGCAAAAGGCATTCTAATTTGCTTTTCAGTTGAAAGGACTAAGCACCTATGGTAGGTACTCATGAATCAGTCAATAAGAAAAAAAAACTCGTGTAAACGACACCGCATTGAACGAGCTCTGATTAATCACTTCTTTTTATACCCGACAACGAACCTACAGTCTAACATTAAGGTTTATTGACTACCACTTTAATCGTTTTAGCCTTGTAAAAAAATAATGATGTAGGTTTTTCTGTAGGAACATCCTTTATTGGAAAAAGAAAGAAGTTATTTCAAATCAAGGTCTACAGAGGAATTGTTTACATTAGGAGTGATTTTATCGAAAATATTGCGCGCTTTCTGGCTCTAGGAAAATTCGTTGATACGATTGAAAGTTATAATATGTTTTTTTTGACAATGCCCGACGCCCAGACTGCTTTGTACGAGTGTAGGTATGTAATTACACAAAAAAGTTTCCATCACATCGCAACTGCGCAAATCACTTGCCCACATGTATGGATTCGTAGATGTGTAATTAACGTTTTATCTGGCGCCTTTTTTATAATCTGAAGAGATTTAATACGCGGTCTGTGGTGAAAATATGCGTCGCAGTGTTATCGATCAACTAGAGCGCGAAGTGAGTCACCGGTTCGATGACCCAAATTGCACTCCTTCGTATAAAAAACACTTCGATCCCTTTCAACTTAAGTGAGTAATGATGGGTGGATGAAACGATAATTAAGGTCCTAGGTTAAAATCCTCAATTTGCCTTGTAAATTATTTAATATTGAAGGTCACGCACCTACAGTTGAGACAAACAAATGACCTGATGGTCTACGTAACGATTTACGTAATTCCGGCGCCACACATTGGTATACTGGCTCCCAGGTTTTGTCTGGTTCCGATATACAAATGTTTAGATCGGTTTTTGGACATCATAGACGTAAGGCGAAGACCGATCTACACTTCTCTTATTGGTGTATTGAATCCCATCCCAGAGTCCTAGACGTAAGTTGGAGCCAATACACCTACCTACCCATAGTATGGCGCCGGCATTACCAGGCCAGTTAAGATTAACCAGATCGTTAAATAATCCCGAAGATGCCGTGCTAGGAGCACAATAAGCCTACACAATAGATGCCAGGATATAAAGACTGACACTACATGGCCTACTGGCCCATCTCATTCTAGAATCAGTGGTATTGTGTGTGCATTAGTGAGATTGATTTAGTTTGAATAGTTTTTTGAACCATCAGAATCCCAATTCTCAAAAGACATTGAAATAATACCTATCATACAAAATTTGTAAGACTGTGTTTTGCAATTAGAATTCAAATATTTTCGAAATATGTATGTCTCATGATAGACAATACAGTCAGACCCAAAGGATTAAATAAATCTATTGAGATTAAGTTTTTTACTAATCTTGAAGTTTTAACTATTTGTCAGAAAATCAGAAATTCAAAAACAAATTATTTTAATACCTGTCTTATTTTCTCCTACAGGAAATTCTTAACCCTTAACCACTGACGTATCATTTTGTTACACTAACACTGACGTACGTACGGCATACGTACGTAACTTTGAAGACCTCTTGATGTATCAATAGAGTGTAACATTGGTGAAATTTGANAGTTTGATTTTCATGAGTTTGGATGCTCTGTAATTTAGGTCGCCATCCGCAGTCTATGTACATTTGTGTGCAGTTTAAAGTGCGGTGGAAACAAGAGCAGGATATAATTAAATTTATTTGCGCTGTTTGTGCAGCAGACGTTTAAACATGTTCGCCGGACGAGCGGTCGGAGTCACAGCTTTTTATTGCTTCATGTGGCAAATTGTTCTGTTGGTGTAACTTGTGTACTTTAACACAAACACTTTTTGTTTTTATCCTGGGTACTAGGTGTTTATGTTGTGCATGAGACGATAATAATGTTCTTGAATGATTTATTACTTACAATTTCTTCAATTATTCTTCTTGGTTACTTTAGTTACTTCATCTAAATACACCTTCGTTCCACATTTTCTGTTTGTCGAAAGTTATCTTCGTTTTTAGTATGGAGCTAGTGAAAACTATGTTTGCAGAAAAAAACTACGTCGCATTATAGCATCTCGATTCCAAATAGACATATTATTAAAATGATTATCTTTTGTAACACGTTTGAAGCCACTCGGCTAACTGGAGAATTTAACAATCGATACTATTATCCATGTACGGTTGGCCTAAGACTTACTTTCTTCTCCATCCTCTTGAGGTGCCTGTTGTTTTTCCACCAGGAGACGTCTGCTTCGGGCCGGGAGCCGGTCGTCTTGCACTCGATCTCGTACCGCTTGTCGGCGGATATCTGCTTCTCTTTTGTTAGTATCGTCACTGATATTGGTTTTACTGAAAGAGGAGAAGCGTTTTAGTTCATGTTTTAGGTTTTGAACTTTACGTATAGTGTCATATTAGTTTTATTCACTTGCGTAGTTACGCTTAGCTTATTCTGGATTTGAGACACTAATTTGATGATGGTTTAATAAGTAAGTTTGCAGATACCTTAAATATACATTCCTTCCTTCCATTCTAACTAGTTAGGTTACTAATTAGAAAGGGAATTAACACAACTCAATTTTATTTCTTTTTTAGCTATGATTTATCAATTTTCTGCCTAATGTTTTGTGAATACCACTTAAGCGAGAAATCGACCCGTTTCATAGCTTTCCAAACCTGTTAAATTCTAATAATCCCCTGGCATGCAAGAATCCTCAAAAGCATCCAAATTTATTGTACCATATTTTTGGAAAAAAAATATAACTTATCTTGTAATCTCAAAAAACCTTAATAAACAATCAATAAAATTAACATGCAAAATATAACTCACAGTTAATATCTAAAATCAGGACTTTCGTCTCCGGTGGCGCAAGGTTGGTGTTTGACGCCTGGCACACCAGTCTCGCGTTCAGATGCTGTCGTCCAATGTTAGGAAACGTCAGCGTGTTGACTGTCACCCCATCGGGCCGCTGTTCGAACGAGTCGTCAATCATCTCGTTCTCGAGGTACCACGTCACCCGCGGTCGTGGTCGTCCTGGAAAGAAGTTGATTGTAGAATACAACCCCTCTAGATGGTACACCTCAGGTACTCAACAACCATTTGCCCCCTAGAAGCAGTCAGGGAGTGTAGACAAAATTATCTATTTACTTTTGGTAAATTAGGTTATTAAACCTTTGTTTGTCACCTGTCATCCGCTTTGCAATGGAGGGAAGTCGAACCTTAATTTCGAACTCCTCCTATGTTCTTCTGATTAATTTCGTTGCGGGTCCAATGACAGTTTAACTTTCCCCCGCGACAAACTTGAACTTCATTGGTTGGGTTTTTATGGCGGTCAAGCTTGGCTTCACAGGTGTTGCAGTGGTGGGATCGAGAGGTGGGAATAGTCCCGTTTTGGTAAATTAGACACGGACGTTCTCGAGGTACCACGAAAAAAGGAAATTGTGGAATGCAGTCTTTAAAATTTAGAAACACTTCCGAAACTGTATCATTTTACCGCTGAGCGGAGCATTGGTAGATCCATAATATGCCAGCGTGGTTTCATCAATACTTGGTTGGTAGTGATGGGACAAATAATTAGATGATCAAACGAACTTACCAAGTGAAGTTCGATCTGAATTATCCTGTTTTCGCCGAAGAGATTTATTTTACCGTGTAGTAGTACCCCTNTTAAGGCAAAAGCAGAAATAAAAGAGAAAAAACAAAAGCATGGTTAAGGTAATCTTGGCTCTTACATTAACAGATTATTATAAAGATTACACAACTTCCTTCCGTAGTAACTACTTGAAATTCAACTTAATAGTTCTTCTAATTAACCCTTTAACGCACACCCTAACTTTTTTTTGAATTCGCTATATTTCTAAGTGGATATATATTCTATAGCGTTATTTATAACAACATGTATTAATAAAATTATCAGAAACTAGATATTTTACGAGAAAATACAAAAAAACTAGTGGTCACTATACTGACCATTGACCGTTCTGCATCACTAAAATAACCAATATTCATGTGAAATCACTGGCCAGTAAACTGGACACTTATGAAAAAAACCGGTTATTTTTATGTAAATTACATATTAAACTAAATAAAATAATTGCGTATTTAGTTATCAATCTTTAATTAGGCTAAAAACATAATATTCAACAAAGTATCAAATAAAATGATTGTATTTCTTCTTCTGAGCCAAAAATAGCATGAAAAAAAAAACAAAATTAAAAGTTTTGTCAACTAAAGTAAACATTATATAATAATTTAGAGACAATATTATGTTGTAAAATAAAAAAACGTGAATGAAAACTCAATAAACCCAGGATTATTATATACATTATCCACAAATATACATAATTTTGTATGAAAAAATACCTAAACAGTTATAATAATGGGGTATAACTACCGAACCCGTATATTTGGGCTTATTATGTTATTGTATTATAAAAATTAATAATATACTCAGTATAAAACGATATAATTTGTGTGTAAAAATCAAAACATATAAATATGAGACCACCTCAAATTCACATGTGTAATTTCTACACAAGGCTTTTTCAACACACTAGTCTGTTTTTAATTGCAAAAATAACATGTTTATTTTACGGTTTTCGACTATATTTTGACGTGATGATAAAGTATATACTATAACATTATTATTTTACTCATCTTCTTTACGAAGATATGTTTTTACATTGAACTACACTCGGAAATATGTATCGTCTGCTTGCAATGGCAGCAAATACTAATACGGGTGTGCACAGTGGCCAGTTGACAGGCCACCTTAAAAAAGAGCACGAATTTTTGATTGCGTGTGACGTCCTTGAGCGCTGGCTCGTTTCTAGGCCAGCGTGCTTTATTGGCTATCGTTTATGATCATAAGGTTCGACATTGTTACAAAAATCATTGAATTATCGGCAGTAAAGTGACTGTCCAGTTTATTGGCCACTTTGTATGGGCCGTCCTATAAAGGGTTAAATGATGAGTCATACTTGGAGAATTCAGATCAAGTGACACATGTGACTCACATTAATAGGACTGGAGTACCCTTATGGTACTCCCATGAGAAATAATAGCATAAAAAATTGCTGATTGAATGAGTTATAACAGAACTATTTCCTTCTGAAATAATAATATGTCAGTACAAACTTGTAAAAGGATTAATTTAATAGCAATTCTATAACATTGTGAAAAAAATAATACAACTGAATCTTTTTTAAATAACATCTAGACGAAGATTATGAATAGATCATGTTTGAAAGTTCCTTGTACCTAATTATAAATATATTTTCTTTCTCTTTCCTTGTGGTAAAATTGTGAAGTTGTACATTTCAGCACATGTGCGGGGATACTCATTTTGTTTCAAGTTCATTACAATTTACTAATAGATGTAATGTAGTTAATTCTCAGAAATGTTTTGCTGATTGAAACAAACCACATGTGCTGGTTTTTCTGTTCTGTTACATGTGCAGAAAAATATGAATTTGGCCTTTGGGAAAACAATTGGAAATAGTAGTTAAATTAAACAAGTGCCAGATCTAGGACCAGTATGAGTATTGGAGAGTGAACATGTGAGTGACCCTTTATGGTTTAGATTTTTTGACATCATCTGCCCCAATATTGGAACTGTGCAAAATGCAGATATTGGCAAAACTAACAAAATCTACAAAAAAAACATTTTGTTCATGTTTTAGCAAATTCTGCTGCGTAAAAATTAAATTATTGACATAAGACATGTGTAACTTGACATGCCAAGTCACTGGTTACGATTATCGAAGAAACAAATCAGTGTCATACAGAAGAAGTTCTCTGCACTTTACCGGTGAAATAAATTAATTGCAGTGAACTAAGAAAACAAACAAGCGTGTAATTTTGATAACCTCAATTAATAGCTCACCTCTTCATCAGATGTTGAGCCAGTTCACCACCGCCAACGATTTCCTCCTCTTCGCCAGACTCCACCTCCGAGGTATGGTCATCACCAGCGCGTTCAACGGTACCCATAATGTAATCTACAACAAAGCACCCTTTTATCAAGACTTCGCGCCACGTTGGTTATACCGGCATCCAATAAATTTAACAATACACCATATTCTCACACTTTCAACGTATGTTTAGCGAGATATTAGGACAATACAGCCAAATATATAACACTTCTTTCACTATTTCAATCTAAAACATAATGCGTAGTTCACTGTAAAACCAATTTGGTCGACCACATGGCGGCTTTACCTTGCTCTGTAATTAGCGATCCAAAATGACTTATGTACGTTTAAAACTTTCTAGGAACAAATAAATCAATACTTCCACTAATTTCTAATCAGCTGCTTTTATATTTTGCGAAATAATTGCCAATTTTTACGTACCTGACTGCCGACAAAAGTTCTAAGAAAAGAAAGATGGCGACGAATTCAGCCAATGACCTACGCGAATGAACTAAACTCCAGGGAGAAAATTAAATGAATGAATGAAGATTGAAGGTTCCGGAAGTATGGAGTAAAAGTTGCCATACTTAAAGTGAATATTACGATTGTCTATGGGATTATTTCAACCTATCGTCCGTTGACGGGACGAGTGAACCTCGTAAGTCAATTTTTTAAGAAAATCACTTTTCCATGTGACAATGTAAGAAAAAAACCTCTCAAACATAACTTTATTCTTTGAATCAAAAAACTAACCTTTATTTGGTATTTAGAACGTTCTCCTTGTAGCTAGTTATTTTTTCGGACGGAATGTGCTGATAGCCGCGAGTGGCTGGCTTTCTCAGCTTCACCGGGCAATAGGTGAAGGCAGATTGCTCTCAACTTCAAAATTTAAGCAACGAGCCTAAGGGCCCCCTCGAGTGGGGCCCGAACCTCGGCTGTAGAGCAGCATAGATTTTAATTTATAAGAAGTATGTACTGACTGGGTGAACTGGGTCACTTATGATATTTTTAAGACCAGCTCTGCCTCCTTATACAAGTGGCAAAACGTGACAGTTGTAATTCGGAAATTGCTTCATGGAGCGAAGAAACTATTTACTTAAAAGAAAACGCGCCGCAACGAAAGGTTTTCGAAATTACAAATTACAATTTACAATTGAACTGACTCGTTTCGCTACTTGTAGTGAGGCACGAAATATTCTAAAAATAGTCTGCCTCGACGAGTATTGCCATTAAAAAAAAGAAGAATAATTGTCTATACTTACTAATTGTCAATGTCATAATGACAGTTGTTTGTACTTGCAGTCATAGAGTATATTATATACTTGCAGTGTTTTCGGAAAGCGTGTCAGTCTACCAGTTTTTGCAAAATGTTTTAATATTTTAAATAATGTGTAAATTAATTTGAAAAATTTCATCCGAAATGCCGCCCACCGTTCAGACAAATGAGCCCGAACGGGACAAACGTCCCCAGCGGACGGGAGAAAGGAGGTTAGTTACATTTCCAACAACATAGCTGTTGTTATTCAGAGAACGAAATTAACTAGCATTTACTTTGCAGATCGGAGTTGGTAACGAGAGTGAAGTACTGTAACACTCTCCCGGACATCCCATTTGACTTGAAGTTCATTACATATCCATTTCCATCAACAAGATTCATTCAGTACAATCCTACATCGTTGGAGAAGAGTTATCGCTATGAAGTGCTTACTGAGCATGATTTAGGCGTGCACATAGACTTGATAAACCGGGACATATACCAGGGCGATGGGAATGCTATGCTGGACCCAGCTGACGAGAAGTTGCTTGAAGACGATGTTCTCACACCTCAAGATTCCAAAAGATCACGTCACCATGCCAAAAACGTATCCTGGTTGCGTCGTTCTGAGTACATTTCCACGGAACAGACCAGATTTCAGCCTCAGACTATGGAGAAGGTAATAAAGAACTCAATTATTTTACTTTATTAAGATTTTTGTTCTAACCGAACCTTATGCTTAAAACTTTCACTTACATCTTTCTGAACCAATGTTTTCCTGTTTTAGGTTGAAGCCAAAGTTGGTTACAACGTCAAAAAGATCTTCAGCGAAGAAACCTTGTACATGGACCGTGAAAGTCAAATCAAGGCTATCGAAAAGACGTTTGAAGACAACAAAAAGCCCATCGAGAAGCATTACAGCAAGCCCGGAGTCACTCCAGTGGAGGTCATGCCGGTGTTCCCAGACTTCGAGATGTGGAAGTATCCGTGCGCGCAGGTCATATTCGATACGGACCCAGCGCCGGCGGATAAGAATATTGCTGGGCAGATTGAGGCCATGTCACAGGCTATGATTCGGTTAGTGCTTCATCATATTAGCTATAGTCTATCTTCTATTCTAAGATCAGTTCTGGTAGTTGACAACATAAACTAATAATTCCAAGGCACATCTTTCTTAAAATATTCTAGTCTCAACCGAATTTAAATAGTTTTACAGTTGAACAGCAGATAACAGTTGAATTTAGATTTTTAGCTGCTTTGATTAGTTAATAAAGTTGGCAAATTAGTGAAATCATAAATAAAAATTTTAAAATCATGTTTTACAGTGCATCAATTTATTTATTGGTGCCGCCAACTAAAAGGTCATAAAAACTCATAAAACTTATTTTATTTTCGCAAGTACGCTTTTCAAAAGCACTTTTACTTACTGAGTGTTTATTATTTAATTTCAGAGGTGTGATGGACGAAAGTGGAGAACAGTTTGTCGCTTACTGTCTGCCCACTGAAGAGACGATACAGAAACGCCGTCGCGACATCGTCGAGAGCATTCCATACATGGACGGTGACACGTACGAATACAAAATGGCTAGGGAGTACAACTGGAATGTCAAGAGCAAAGCATCTAAGGGTTACGAAGAGAACTACTTCTTGGTGAGGATATTTGATTTATTCATACAGTTCTTTTCGGGTCCGTGGCCGAGTCCCCCAGTATTTGACGCACCCGTGGTGGGCGCCCCCGATTTCAATAAATTTCATATCACATTTTTTTCGGCTTTTGCACTAAGTACAGTCAACGAAAAAAGTTTCACAAGCTAATTATTATACTAAACTATGCATGTTTGACGGTATTTATGCAATCTGGGAGCAAAATTTTAACCCAAAACCAGCAGTAGTAAGAAACAAAAAACTTTTGTAGGAATTATTTTCATTTCATTAGATTCATTTTTGCGTTTAATTCTACTGGCCTAATAAATATTTATTAGTTTATAAACATTTTTGTGCCTGACTGTACATTTGATTAAAAATTGCTTCAAATCGAATTTAACTGACCGGGGGCGTCGACCACGGGTGCGTCGAAAACTGGGGGACTCGGCCACGGACCCTTCTTTTCATTGTTTTTAATTTTACATAATTATTGTGAATTTATATTTATTCGCAATCTGGTTACATCATGCATGATCCTCTTTGGCATACAAAATCTTTGGGAGAGTCACATTCTATCAGCTTAAAAAGTATAGAGTTGTGTGTCAATCTACCCAATTTTCATTTTGCATGATATATTTTGCACCTTTTTAACTAATTAACTAAGTAGATATTGTGTTTTAAGTCAGCGACGAACGCGACGCGTCGTTTCGCGGCAAGCGCAACAAATGCATGGAGCTTACGTTTACGTATCATCCTATGTGCCAGTATGCGACGTACCATCGCGTCGCTTAGCGTGGCAGTCGTTAACTTATGACATCGCTTTGCCCCACCACAGACAAATGTCTGTACACAATCGAGTTGTACACAATTTTAATGACGTCATTATCACGTCATGCTTTTGTTTCTTAGGTGGTCCGCAACCATTGCGTCTACTACAACGAGCTGGAGACTCGCGTGCGTCTGTCCAAGCGGCGAGCACGCGCCGGCGTCGCCGCGCAAGCGCTCACGCGGCTCGTGGTCACGCACCGGCCGCTCAGCGCGCCCGAGCACCGCATGCTGCGGCTGCGGGAGAAGCAACTGGAGCCGCCGCAGGTAATGTGTCATGTGGAGAGCCTCAGGCGCTCACGCGGCTCGTGGTCACGCACCGGCCGCTCAGCGCGCCCGAGCACCGCATGCTGCGGCTGCGGGAGAAGCAACTGGAGCCGCCGCAGGTAATGTGTCATGTGGAGAGCCTCAGGCGCTCACGCGGCTCGTGGTCAGTCGCCGCAGGTAATGTGTCATGTGGAGAGCCTCAGGCGCTCACGCGGCTCGTGGTCAGTCGCCGCAGGTAATGTGTCATGTGGAGAGCCTCAGGCGCTCACGCGGCTCGTGGTCAGTCGCCGCAGGTAATGTGTCATGTGGAGAGCCTCAGGCGCTCACGCGGCTCGTGGTCAGTCGCCGCAGGTAATGTGTCATGTGGGGAGCCTCAGGCGCTCACGCGGCTCGTGGTCAGTCGCCGCAGGTAATGTATCTTCTAATGTGTAGATAAACTTAGCGAAACCTGTAGGCCTAAGATGCGTGCCGTGATAACTTTTATCGACGTCAAAATGTATGGGCAAAATCGATAAAATGGCGTGATAACCGCTTATCGCGGCGCGCATCTTAGGCCTACTGGTTGAACGCCGCGGCACGTACTCGTGAATTGCAGAAGCGTAGCAGATCAATGGGTTCAAATTGCTGCTACAGGATGCGATAGGCTGCTGATAGCTTTCTTTATAGGGGGATCTGGGGTATATCATATCAAGCACAATGGCCCAATCAAGAGGCTAAGTGCGATGTTGATGGCCCTGCAAAACTAATGAACTCACCTGGTTCGAAGCATCATTGCCTGGTAAGGAAGTAGCTTCAACAACTTCAATCTTATCAACTCTCTACATTTCAATCAGTTTCCTTTGGGACACTGTACACTGTACATTGTTGTGGTCTTTCGAGCTTACCCTCTCTATTTTACCAGATACAAAAGACAGGATTTGGCAGCATTTTGTCTCTTAAGATTTGATTTACAAGAGTATGTAAATAAATTGTTTTACTTTGTTTTCAAGGAGGAAGATGAAGAAGAAGAGGAAGAAGAGGACGATGACGAAGAAGAAGATAAGCAAGAAGAACAGACGCAGGAAAAAGAAAGGTGAACAAAATTGCATATTATTTTTGATGATAGTTGATGATGATAAAAATGTTTGGAATGTTCAACTGCCTAGCTCGCATCAATATTTATGACTACGTATATTTTAAAGACTGTAAAGAAGGCTGACAATAGTGACTCAGTTTCTTGCGCTGCTGCTTTCAGCACTGGTCCATTTATTGCCCCGAAGCAGTGGTTAATACTGGGACGTGTAAAAGTGTTCTTAAAAGCCTAATTTGCGAAAATTAATGAGTTTTTTATTTTTATGCGCCACTGTCAAACAATGTTCTAATATTATTTTTGCCATTTTCAGATCCCGTTCCCGTTCCAAATCCGGGTCGAAATCTCCGCAAGGCTCGGACCGGTCGAAATCCCGCTCTCGATCCCGGTCCCGATCCCGCTCGCGGTCTAAATCCCGGTCCAAATCCCGGTCCAAGTCGCGCAGCCGGTCTAGGTCGGGTTCTGGCTCTAGGAAATCAAGGTCCAGATCTGGCTCAGCGCATTCTGGATCTGCAAGGTATAAAACTATACTTCTATCTATTCTAATATTATAAATGCGAAAGTAACTCTGTCTGTCTTGCTTTCACGCCTAAACCACTCAAGCGACTTTGATGAAATTTGGCATAGAGATAGTTTGAGTCCCGGTAAAGAACATAGGATAGATTTTATCCCGGTTTTTGAAACAGGTACGCGCGCGATGAAGTTTTTCTGTGACAGACAAAATTCCACGCGGGCAAGTCACGGGCGGAAAACTAGTGTATATTATAAGAGTTTATTCTCTGCGGCCGTAATACATAATGTGCAATTTTATTCACATTCACTTAATGAATTTCGTTGCGGGACTAATGACAGTTTACATTTCTCCCGGAACAAACTTGAACTTCACTGATTGGGTTTTTATTAGCGGCCAAGCTGTAGATCCTGGCTACACAGGAGTTGCAGCTGTGGGAACGAGAGGTGGGAATAGTCCCCGTTCGGCGTTCACTTTCTAAAACTAGCTCAAAATATCTGCAAGGTTAAAAGACAATGCCGGAAATTGGCGTCTTTTTTTTTTCGCGCGGCCATCGACCAAACCTTGTTTTTTGATTACAATATAGTGTAATAAACCAAACTTACTACGACATGTATACCTCTAAACTCAGTCTGAACTGAGTTACAAATAACTACAGTAAGAAATTGCAACAAAATAATGACATTGTATGTGTAAACAAACAATACCATCCATTAAAGGCTCCAGACATCATTATGCAGCAGAATCAGTGCAATAAAAAATAGCGCAATATTTTGTTGCAATTTCTTACAAAACTTGCGCGCAAAAAGCAAATCTAGTATGAAAATCATTAAACTTCTAATGCTCGTAACTCAGTTCAGACTGAGTTTAGAGGTATACATGCCATAGTAAGTTTGGTTTATTACACTATTTTGTAATCAAAAAACAAAGTTTGGTCGATGGCCGCGCGAAAAAAAAAAGACGCCACCTTCCATACAAAACCTGGCATTGCCATTTGCTAGAAACATTTCAACATCATCATCTACCAAAGAAAATATATTCAAAAATAATTTTGTTCTATTACAGATCGCGATCCGGCTCAGCGAAATCTCGTTCCCGCTCCCGTTCCCGTTCCCGCTCGGGATCCCGCGCGTCGTCCCGCGTGTCTTCCCGCGCCAGCTCTAAGAGCGGGAAGGGCTCTAGGGCTAGTTCTGCTAGTGGGAGGGGATCTAGGGCTAGTTCTAAAGGCAGCGGCAAGGTAAGCTATCGCCATAATTTATTTGTCTCCACTAAGAACACGTTATTGGAGGCGCATACATGCCCATAAATAACGATTTTCTCCTATGGATTTTGAAACTTGTCCTTTGGATATATTGGATGGGGTTTATTTATGACTATACTTTAGCGTTATGAATGACTGCACAAACACAAATAATCTGAAAGGGATGATTAAGTGCTAATATAATAATGGAAATCGAAAACAAAAAATAACTTCTCCATAAGTAAAATTATGTTATTTACATCAATTGAAAATCAATTGAAAACTAAGCCTTCAAATTAGACGATTTTTTTTTACATATTCTCACCAGTAGTGGAAACAACAGAAATAAACCTACTAAGGATTATAAAATTAGAATAAAATTAAAAATGTATGAAATAATTATTTTTTTCTAATTTCTAGGGCTCCAAAGCAAGTTCAAAGGCGAGTTCCCGCGCCTCATCCCGCGCGAGCAAGCGTTCGTCCCGCGCGAGCAAGCGATCGTCCCGCGCGTCGTCCCGTGCGTCCCGCGCGTCGTCCAAAGCGTCCGGGTCCAAGGCGTCGTCCCGCGCCAGTTCCCGCAGGAATTCGGGATCCGGCAGCGGCTCTGACAAGTCCAGGAGTCGCTCCCGGTCCGCTAGCGGGTCCAGACAGGTTAGTACATTCTAAGGCAACGTCGGAGTCGGATAAGCAACATTTTGCGCGTCTACGTAGACGCCCAGGTAATCAGCTTTTTACTGAGCCAGTTCTCAAAGGAACTCTTGGTCAAATGGTGGCTCTGGAAGGTCGACTTTTCTAGATTCTTGAAGAACTAGAACTGTCAACGAACTTGAGAGGACCAATAATCGGTCTCTGTCTGCTAAAGTTCGGAGGAGTCGAGGCAGCGATCCTGAAACATGTAGGAGTCGCTTTGCTAAAGTCCGTTCGCCGAGCACATAGAATTTCGTACAATGACCCCAAGCTACCCATCTTTATCATGTAGGAGTCGCTTTGCTAAAGTCCGTTCGCCGAGCACATAGAATTTCGTACAATGACCCCAAGCTACCCATCTTTATCGCTCGCGTGAAATTATATTGCTGTCGCGCTCGCACACTCACTGTGGCTGCCTATCACATCCTATCACAGTAGTTGCGACAGCAATATAATTACGCGCGAGCGATAAAGATGGGTAGCTTGCGGTCATTGGATGAGGGTTTTGTTCGACGGGTTTGTGTCTAGTCGTGTAAAGTGAGCGCGAAGATTTCCCTACGGGACTATTCCCACCGCTGCATCTCCTGTGTAGCCAGGATCTACAGCTTGACCGCCAATAAACCCAACCAGTGAAGGTCAAGTTTGTCCCGAAGACTTCCCTAGCGAGCGAGCGTGCGTCCCGCGCGTCATCCAAGGCGTCGTCCCGCGCCAGTTCCCGCAGGAACTCGGGATCCGGCAGCGGCTCAGACAAGTCCAGGAGTCGCTCCCGGTCCGCTAGCGGGTCCAGACAGGTTAGTACATTCTAAAGCAGCCTCGGAGTCGAAGAAAGACGCTTCTACGAAGAAAGAAGCGTCTACTAAGACGCCCAGGTATTCTTGTACTCTTGGTCAAATGGCTCTGGAGGGTCGACGACTTTTCTAGATTCTTGAAGAAACTAGAACTGTCAACAAACTTGAGAGGACCAATAATCAGTCTGCTAGAGGTCGGAGGAGTCGAGGCAGCGATCCTAAAACATGTAGGAGTCTCTTTGCTAAAGTCCGGTCGCCGAGCACATAGAATTTCGTTCAATGACCCCAAGCTACCCATCTTTATCGCTCGCGCGTAATTATATTGCTGTCGCGCTCGCACACTCACTGTGGCTGCCTATCGCACAGTAGTTGCGACAGCAATATAATAACGCGCGAGCGATAAAGATGGGTAGCTTGCGGTCATTGGATGAGGGTTTTGTTCGACGGGATTGTGTCTAGTCGTGTAAAGTGAGCGCGAAGTTTTCCCTACGGGACTATTCCCACCGCTGCATCTCCTGTGTAGCCAGGATCTACAGCTTGACCGCCAATAAACCCAACCAGTGAAGGTCAAGTTTGTCCCGAAGACTTCCCTAGCGAGCAACCGTGCGTCCCGCGCGTCGTCCAAAGCGTCCGGGTCCAAAGCGTCGTCCCGCGCCAGTTCCCGCAGGAACTCCGGATCCGGCAGCGGCTCCGACAAGTCCAGGAGTCGCTCCCGGTCCGCTAGCGGGTCCAGACAGGTTAGTATATTCTAAGGCAGCCTCGGAATCGAGAAGAAACATTTTGCGCGTCTACTGAGACGCCCAGGTAATCAGCTTTTTACTGAGCCAGTTCTCAAAGGAACTCTTTGGTGAAATGGTGGCTCTGGAAGGTCGACCACTTTTCCTACATTTTTAAAGAACTACGGACTAGTTCCCGCAAGAACTCCGGCTCCGGCAGCGGCTCCGACAAGTCCAGGAGTCGCTCCCGGTCCGCTAGCGGGTCCAGACAGGTTGGTACATTCTAAGGCAACCTCGTAGTCGAAGAAAGACGCTTCTACTAAGAAAGAAGCGTCTACTAAGACGCCCAAGTATTCTTGTACTCTTGGTCAAATGGCTCTGGAAGGTCGACGACTTTTCTAGATTCTTGAAGAAATTAGAACTGTCAACGAACTTGAGAGGACCAAGAATCAGTCGCTGTCTGCTAGAGGTCGGAGGAGTCGAGGCAGCGATCCTGAAACATGTAGGAGTCGCTTTGCTAAAGTCCGTTCGCCGAGCACATAGAATTTCGTCCAATGACCCCAAGCCACCCATCTTTATCGCTCGCGCGTAATTATATTGCTGTCGCGCTCGCACACTCACTGTGGCCGCCTATCGCACAGTTGCGACTGCAATAGAATTACGCGCGAGCGATAAAGATGGGTAGCTTGCGGTCATTGGATGAGGGTTTTGTTCGATGGGTTTGTGTCTAGTCGTGTAAAGTGAGCGCGAAGATTTCCCAACGGGACTATTCCCACCGCTGCATCTCCTGTGTAGCCAGGATCTACAGCTTGACCGCCAATAAAAGCCACCAAGGTATGAAGGTCAAGTATGTCCCGAAGACTTCCCTAGCGAGCAAACGTGCGTCCCGCGCGTCGTCCAAAGCGTCCGGGTCCAAAGCATCGTCCCGCGCCAGTTCCTGCAGGAACTCGGGATCCGGCAGCGGCTCGGAGAAGTCCAGGAGTCGCTCCCGGTCCGCTAGCGGGTCCAGACAGGTTAGTACATTCTAAGGCAACCTCGGAGTCGGAGAAGGAACATTTTGCGCGTCTAAGACGCCCAGTGGGTCTAGACAAAGTGCAAATTATAATCGCAAACCAGTCGAAAAGTGGTCGAAAGTCCTTTTTTTTGTATAGAGTAATGCTTATGACGAATTCGATTTTCGACTGGATCAAAAAGTGCATTTCTAGTACTCAAATGGTGGCTCTGGAAGGTCCAACCACTTTTCTAGATTCTTGAAGAAACTAGAACTGTCAACGAACTAACGGCATAAAAACCTTTTACGCGTTCTTCGAAGTGCCCAAGTTGAGGCTTTTCTAGATTTGTTCTGGCAGCGGTTCTTAGAAGTCAAATCTGCTCCATTAATGCCTAATTGCTTTTTCACCATCAATCCCTAATTTTTAAATGACTCCTATGAAAACAAAATTCCTGTTATGTTACCATCGGGGTCACTTAAAAATTAGGGATTGACGGTGAAAACGGGCATAAGTGTTATATTCCCTCATTTGTGTATGTAACCATATATTTTTTATTTACAGGGTTCCCGTAGCGGGTCGGCGTCGAGCGCATCATCTCGCCACAGCGGCTCTGACTAGAAACACTAGAACTAGAATAAGACTCGAGTGTAATTATAATATAGATCGTAATTTTTTAATAAAGCACTGATGAATATTTTGTGTTTTATTCAAGTCAGTTCATTAGAAGTTAATTAGTTTCGCAATATAATTTAGCACAGTTTTATTTATATAACTGAAGTAGTAAGGCAAATATAAATTTTATGCACGAAGTCATAACGCCCGTATTCACAAACATTACTATGAGGTCTCACAGTGCGCGTGGACGCACAGGGTGACACACGAACCAATCACAGAGCTCTCTATTCAACGCTGTGCGTTCGATTTGCTACTTCACTTAAGCAAGCATCGTTTGTAAGACCAAGTTGTAGGTAGGGGCTTGCTAACGAGTTCAAATAAGTGTTGACAATGTTTTTGTTTCCTTCAGGTTATCAACAAAAGGTAAATTGAATAAAACGCAGGGATCATAGCAATATATTTTATTAGTGCACTTTATCACTTGATTACATAAAAAAAAAACAAACAAATATTTGAATTCAAATAAATAACATATTGTTCCCATTTTGTATTGACATATTAACAATAGAAGTTTATTTCATTTATTGCTTACTTTTTGTATAATAAATCTGTACTCTCAGTCTGAAAAAACATCTTCATATTCAGTAAATAAACGTTATTTTTTTCATATAATCGATATGTCTCCAATAAATGCAGAATATAATTTGTGATGTTCAAAAGAAGAAAATGTAATCATCACACAAAATACTTTCGAAAAACTTTCACACTAACTTTTTTTTTTCATTTTATCATTTCAAAAACACACAAGAGGGTTAAAAAAATCATTTTGTTCATAATTTCCGTTAAACCTATTAATTTCAATGTATAATTTTATATTATTCTTCGTCATCACACAAACATACAAAAATATGTTGATTTTGTTACAATAAAAATGTCTATCAATATACTCTATAACAGTCTATGTAAAATGAGTTCTATTGCATTTTTAACAAGAATTTCCTACATTACATTCTTCAAAGAATGGAATTATGCGAATAATATCGGCCACACTCCTGCATGCTCAAGAGGACTTCCGATTTTCCAACTGGTATTTTTAACACCGGTATTTGCGCGATACTTTATTTTCCAAGGCGAATAAAACATTAAAATATTACAAAAGTACTTTTACTGCCTCCTAGCCTTGTATTGTACTTCATATTCATCTACTCACTAAAAGTCGTAGTTTCAATCCCCGCACACTACAAAATATCTCGTAAAATCGGTTTTACCTTATCAGCTTATCGGTAAGCTGCAATACCAGTATCGGAAGTCCTAGAACTACCGTAAAGCTAGGGTTTGACCTAATTTAACGGCACAGTTCAGGTATACAATTTTATATTGCCATAATATCAGTCACACGCCATCATGAATACGCCTAACGCTTGAAACTGGTATTTATACCACACATTGGTGCAGTAGCGGCGTAAGGGGGGGGGGGGCGGTGGGGGCGGTCCGCCCCGGGTGCCAAGCATCAGGGGGTGACACAAGTCGCGCAGATTAGTACTCACTGGCACATCTGCATGGCAAATCTGCGGTCTATGTCATGATA